AATTTTGTTTTGTCATTGAAATCTACGACTCTCCTCTACCCCCACGTAATCAGAATGTACCGAGAAAACACGGAAATATAGAAAGGCTTGAAGGAACTCCTTCAGAACCGTCTATCCTAATGATCGTTGAGAGAAACAATTCATTTCAGCTAAGCTACGGACTAATTTTGCACACTCAACCCCTATAAACTACCTGATACGGATAAGGGTGGGTAGATTTCGATTTTCCTATCCAAATGCCCTCCTCATGTGGCTACTCGTTCATAGTATCTACAAAAGTTAAAGGAAGAACGTGAACGTGCAGGTCTATCAAGGGAAGCTCGGAGACCCTGTTTGCAAACCTATGATGTGTACATTGACTCCAGAATCCATAAGAAAGAATCGAATAGCGTATACGAAGCTGTTTTGGTCATCGGAAACCATGGGAACGCAGTTCCCCTGTCTTGCAGATCAGATCAGACTTCAGGTCAAAGGCTTGGCAAATCAAGATAACCAGTTGCTTCGATCTGACAGTTTGAGGAGTAGTATCCCTGTCCTCGCACAACCTATGAAACAACAAAATCATTTTTATATTGCGCGTCTCTTGGTGCCAAGTTTACACTTTTACAAAAATGAGTTTTAACTCAAGAGAAGAAAAGACTGTTTCCAAAAATGGAAAATAGAAATAATAATCATTATAATTGTTAATTTTTTCTGTCTGTCTGTCTGTCTATCTATCTCTTTATCCGCCATATCCTTCCTTGCAACAACAGAAAAATCTTTCAAGGGATTTAGAAAAACACATTTGAGAGTGAATATCAAAAAAACACGAAAATTTAAATTAGAGGCATAAACAAAAACAAGATACTGTAAAAATAATCAATTGTATATGTGGTCAGACAGACATACTCTCATACAGACATATATGTAGATTATATAGACAGATAGATAGATAGACACAGAGACACACATACGTACACACGCACACACTGCAGTATACTGTTTGTAAAGACCAATCAATGTGGTAAGTAGATGTGCGTAGGTGGTCAGGCAGACACACCAACGCACGCACGCACGCAGACTGACTGATAGATGATAGACAAACAGAGTTCAGCGATATATACTGTTTGTACAGACTTTTCTTCTTCTAACCTTGAGAATGGAAAAGTTGAAATAATTGAGAATATGTGCATAATATTATTGGATGTATTTTTTTTACCATGAAGTGTAACTATTTTCGAATGTGTGTTTGTAGGTGTGTGTTTTGTGAGTACAGATATTGCCAACTGGTTCCAATAAAAGTGTGAAACAAACCAGAACACAAAAGTAGAATAAAATTTAAAATAAAAATTAAAATAAAGCGTGTTATATAATTGTACACATTCTTTCATGTCTAATATTATGCAACAAACATGAATGTAACATGATGTAACACAAATACATAGATAGATAGACAGATACACAAACGAACACACGTACATACGTACACACACACACACACAATATCACCAATATCCCACCCATCCATCCCCAACCCCCAAGTTATGAAAAACACACACAAATGACATTACACATCAATATGAATGATGCGTTGATGAGAGATTTTGAGGAGAAGGATGAGAAACATAAAAAAAGTAAAACGAGTTAAAAATTTTGTTAAAAAGAAATCAAAGAGGGGCAAAAAAAAACAAAAAAGAGAGGAGAAACTATTAGACTTATAGCAGAAAAAATCAACAAATCGTGATCAAAATATTTGAAAAAATATTTACGTACATATACAAACAAAAACTCATTATGATTTAAAGATCATAACCACTACCGAATGTCATGCCCTGGGTTCGAATCCTGGTGGGTGCGTACTGCGTATAACAATACAGCACCGCTTGTAATCCATTTAGATAACGATGAACTGATTGACATTAGTTAAAGAGCATTCCTGGATAGTTGTTTCGTCCTAGTATGGGGACTCTTCAACAGGAGAGCCTAATCATAACCCGACATTGAAGTCATGAAACTCGTAGACCATCCAGTGTCAGTGGGACGAAATCAAACGGTCCGTAAGTGGATGAACTTTCACTTTTTTTAATTCGCAATGTTCGCAGAAGTACTATCAGCAGAATCCAATATCCTCGGTGAGTATTCTTCCTCTCACACCCTTACAGGTCAGCAACTTCTCACTAGAACTTCAGACAGTATTTTCGAGTATTGATTAGCAGATGAACTCAAATATCAATCGGAGAAAACGGTTGAAAAGCATGAGAATATTGGACAGCTGTTTCACCACCCTATTTCGAGTCTCTTCATCGGTGCAAACATATGACACCATTGTGGACTGGACACCAAAGACCTTCAGGTCACCATGAGGAGGATCCACTGACCATTTATTCAGTCACTGAGACAGAATCCAATAGTTTCTGCATTCTAACTTCGGTCAATTCGTGATATAATACGTGACAGCGCCACAACCAGCCAGTGAACATTTTTCGTCACGCTTCAATAATAGTGATAACTTGTCTCATTTTGTAATCAGTTAGTAGTCAGGATTGGACTTAATATTAAAGCGTAAGTTTTTCAGTTTTCGGTTGATTTCAAGTGACATCCCCCAAACGTGAAGAAACAAGTTGGAGAATCACAAGTGTAATCATACAGTGTAATAGAAAGTTGTTTCGTCCTAGTTTTGAACTTTTCAACAGGATGCGTATTCATGAATCCAGGAAGTTACTACAGTTTCTAATTGAAGTTGAAGCTTTATTCAAGTCTCTGTGAAGTTAACACATTCAGAATTATAGTAAGAGTACTCGGAGATGTGGTGTTTATGTAGGGCAAAGTTTTATCGCTCTCGCATCCCTCTAACGAACAAAAAAACGACCTTTAAATGAACAGTTCAGTTCCTAAGATGTCAGTTGCGAGAATATTGTCCAGGAAAAAAATTAACCAGCGCTGAGAGCTAAAAGACTCACTCACCCACCTGCTAACAACTGCAAGCTATCTTCACTTCACTGGAATCCACGCCCACGATTAACGCTTAGATGTCATTTATTCCCACTTTGGAATATACTCTACAAGTTTCAGCAACATTAGTGTTTTTCTATGATGTAGGGTCTGGAAGGAGGGAAGGTAGTCTACTGACTTGAGGAAAGGTTACCTCGTGAAACTACCAAAGAAGGGCGACTTACGCCTCATTCTGCAAGAACTGGCGAGGAATCATACTCCTGTCGACGCCAAGTAAAATCCTGAGTCGAATCATCCTGGAGATAATAAAGGACACACTGGATACAGAACTCCGACCAGAACAAGCTGGATTCAGGAAAGGCAAATCATGTACTGACCAAATTGAAACTCTACACATCATCATCGAACAAAGCATGGAATGGCAATCAAACCTCTACCTCAACTTTATAGACTTTGAGAAGGCCTTCGACAGCGTTGATCGTAAAGTAATTTGGAAATTACTCGAGTACTATGGCGTACCCCAAATATTCATCAACCTCATTCAACAGCTGTACGACAACGGCGGCACATGTCAAGTGATCCACAACGGAAAACTCAGTAAGGCGTTTGGAGTAAACACAGGAGTCAGACAAGGGTGCTTATTATCACCCACGATGATATTCCTAATTGTGGTGGAATGACTGGATTATGTGTCAGACAGTGAGTGGGAAACGAGAAGACAGGAATATCCTGGACCGACGTAAGAACTTAGAAGACCTGGATTTCGCGCGTGGATGATTTATGTTTGATGTCACTGTCACAAAATCGAAGACTTACAAGCGAGCGAAAACCGACCGACAAACTGGTCGAAAAATCACCAAAGACAAGTCTCCAGGCGAACATAGGCAAGACGGAGGTGATGAAAATAACCAACCAGCCACCACCACCAACAGCAGCAGCAACATCCAGCGTCAATCACCACCAACGGGAGGGATTTCAAAGAGGTTACTTCATTCACTCACTTATCTAGGGAGCATTGTCTCAACTACAAGCAGTCGGAACGGACGAAGATGTCAAATCGAGCGAGAATCGGGAAGGTGAGAAACACATTCACTCATCAACCTGAAACCAATCTGGAAATCTTCGTCACTCAGCCAGCATCAACAACAAAATTCCGCCGGATTTTCGATACAAACAACGTCAAGTCAGTCAGTTCTTCTATACGGACCAGAAACGTGGTGGGCAAGTCACAAAGAATATTTCCAACAGCCTGTTGCAGACCTTCATCAACCAACAACTGTCTTCGCTGGATCTATACTGAGGATCAGATGGCCGGGCCGGAAAGAATCACCACCAACAAGAAACTATGGGAACAAACAAAACAAGAATCAATCGCCCAACAACAACAAATATGCAGGAGAAAGTGGAGATGGATTGGACACTTGCTCGCTGAGGAGGCCGTCGCTGGGTGACATCGCGCGCGCGTCAGGCCATTGCTCGAGTGGAACCAGGCTGAAAGGGAAGTGGCGATTGGGATGTCGGTGCAAGGGTGACATAGAGGAGATCGTGTGAAGAGGAGTTGAAACAGTATGGACTAACATGCATGGATGTAGGTGAAAAGTACAGCAGAAGGAAGACAGAAATGGCAAGTGGAGACGTGCAGTTGAAGCCCTATGTTCCACTAGGAACCCAAGGGAACAATAATAATCATATGGTATAGGGTTCTTAACCCCGCCAGTTGGGGAGAGGTGGGGGTACCTACTGCCTAATCACTGGGGTTTATGAGGTTACGCGTCAACTGGGAATCGACCTCAAGACCACATACACAAGTAGTTAAGATGCATTCCACCGTCAGTGAACCAGTGATACGAATCCACCTCCTGCAGTCTCCTAGATTCCACAGCTGACCGCCAACTTAACCAATTAAATAACGTAGTAAAAAAACCGTAAATATATATATGTATAGTTTTTCATAATTTTTAAAATTGACAATACAATTACTCATGCCAAAGATAGGTGGGGCGTGGAGAGAGAGAGAGAGACAGTCGGAGAAGGGAAAAAGCTAGACGGATAATCAACTACAAACTCACTTTTGGAAGATATTTGCATTGAGGAGAGAAGGTAGAACAGATGACTGAGTAGTTGGCGTCGCCGACGTGGCAGGACAACTACTACTAGTGCTGACAGGTAAATATGAGGTTTCATTGGATTTGCTTTGCAATTGTTTTTCAACAGGAAATGATGAAGTATTACACTTTGTAGTGGATATACTGTTATCACTACTAACTATATTAGTAGTAGTGTCCTTAGAAGGTGTCACTATCGGCGTTGTCGTCGTCGTCGTATTGACAGTATTAGTTGATCCTGTTGTCGATTCACTTCCTGTGATCCCATTCAATGTTCCAGGATAGACAACTTCAGAATTATTATTATTATCATTATTGTTCTTATTGTCTGAAGAAATATTATCGAAATCAGCCCATTTAAAAGAGGCTATTGAACCGACAAAAATACAAAAAAGGAAGAAAGACACATAAATCTCAGGATTGAAGAAAATACATTCGAATTACATCATGAGTTGACATTAGTTAGAGAAACATTGGAAAACCCACCTGGGAGTATTGGACAGCTGTTTCGTCCTAGTTTGGGACTCTTCATCAGTACATACGCAGTTCATGATGAAATCCTGTAACCAATCAGTCGAATTCCTACAAACCAACACTTGAATATCAATGAGATGCTCACTAGCGACTTGCCTTATTCAGGTAGGTAGTTACCTGGGTTCCTGATGAGAAGTCGTGACCAGTAGGGTGCAGCAGGTGGGGTATGAGGACAAACGCTCTCTGAAGACATTGGATAGAGGTTGCGCAATGTTGTGAATTAGCAGAAGTTAGAATCCATGGGCTGGCCATTGGATCGGGTCCAAGTGGCTGAATGGTCTACGAGAAGGTCCTGGGTTCGAATCCTGGTGGGTGCGTACTGCTGAAAAGTCCCAAACTAGAACGGAACAGCTGTCCCGTAGTCTCCCCCCCCCCACCCAACTAGTTTTCTAATGGTTCTCTAACCAATGTCAGCTCATGATGAAATCCTGTAACCAATCAACCAAATCCCTACAAGCCAACACTTGAACATTCGAATTCCTTTTGACACAATAAATGATGATATCATACTATACTACTGATTCATCCATATGAGTAGTTCGTTGTGGACCACTTAACATATGAAACAGTAGTGCTTTTGCTAGCCAGCCAGCCAGCCAGCCAGCTAGATCGAAAGAGAAGCGATCTAAACACTGGATGATAGGCGGTTCCCTAATGTAAGGCTGAGCACATACTTCGAGAGTTTACACCACTTGACTCATCTCTCATTGGAATTCTCACTAGTTACTTGGAGTGAGCTACCCATCTACTGGGCTAACAACACCGTCAATGATCGATGTAACGGTGTTACATAACTACTCATATGAGTCAGTCATGAGTATGTATGTCACAAGATCAGATCATGGGCTATTTTGATGAGTTTTCTCTTCGAATCGCGAATATAATTCTTCAGCATATACGCATATATGCTTATATGACTGACTGACTGACTGACTGACTGACTGACTGACTGACTGACTGACTGACTGACTGACTGACTGACTGGTTTCAACGTAGAACTTTGCACCGATGCGCAGTAGAAGTTCGAGTCGCCACACTTCACTCAGCACACAAAGCCAGAGAAGAAATTAAGAAGAAATGCAAAACAGAGACAGTAATCAGAGATATGAGGCAAAAAGAATAGTAATATGAGGTAGGAACCACATAGTTTTATTGGGTACTATAAGTCACACAAGGAGTAGATGCATCTGCGCTAGCCCTTGACAACGATTTTGAACCATATCATCAACTATCTCCAGTCATTGGTGTTTACCATCCCGAGGATCTCATCCTCTGTCAGGAAGTCAACATTTTCATACTTGGCTTAAACTAACTGTCGTGGATTTCAATGACTAATGCCATGTTTTGCTTTGACCATCACTGATTCTCTTCCAACCTGACTTTTTATATCAGCTAACATTGCCCAATCGAGGAAAGCAATAGCTAGGCTAGGAGGCATGTATAACACATGTCCTAACCATGTCTCTCTCAAACGATGTAACTTCACAGCCTCGTCAATTGATTCCCCCTTCCTCCCTATCGTAGCACTCGACTAATGCCTAACCTCAATATTGCTGATCCAATTACACCATCTCATACGGGAGATACAACGCAGGCACCTATGATGAAAGACCTTTTTATGTCTTCCACTTCCAATGGCCAGGTCATACATATATGTATATATATGTATATATATATATATATATTGGTCTAAATATATACTGTCTGAGCCTCAACATTCGGTGCCTCTATTCTCAACTCTCCCCACACTTGTATCTCATCTGGTATAAATAGAAGCTAGTATAAAAGATGATATGCTCCGACTATTATTATTATTATTGTATCCTTTAGTTCCTAGAGGAACATAGGGCTTCAGCTGCGCACCTCCATTGACTTCGGTTTTCTGACAACTTTTTCACCCACTCCAGGTCTGTCCACATGCTTTCATCTCCTCCTCGCATGACCTCCTCCAAGTCACCCTTGCACTGACGACCAACTCGCCGCCTCCCTTTCGGGTTCCACTCGAGGGCTTGTCTAGTGATGTCACTTGATGGTTTCCTCAGCGTATGGCCAATCCATCTCCATTTCTTTCTGCCTATTTGTTTCACAATCGGTTCCTGATTGGTTCGCTCCCAGAGATCCCTGTTGCTGATCTTTTCTGGCCATCTGATCTTGAGTATTGAGCGAAGACAGTTGTTAATGAAGGTTTGAAGTTTGTTTGAGATGCTCTTTATGACTCGCCAAGTCTCTCATCCGTATAGTAGCACTGACTTCACATTGGAGTTGAAAATCCGGATCTTATTTTTGATGCTGATTGCTGTTGACCTCCACACAGATTTGAGAGTAATGAAAGCTTGTCTTGCTTTTCCGATTCTGGCTTTGATGTCCTCGTCAGTTCCGCCTGTAGTTGAGACGATGCTTCCCAGGTAGGTGAAGGAGGTTGTTTCTTTCAGGTTCTTCCCATTTATGCTTATTGTGGTCTGTTGGTGTTGTTGATGTTGGCTAGGAATCTTCATTATCTCTGTTTTATCTATGTTCACGTGAAGTCCTATCTTTGATGCTTCTTCTGCCAACTTGTTACTTTTCACTTGCATATCTTCCAGTTTATGGGAAATCAGACATATACATCACATCGGCAAAGTCCAGATCCTCCAAGTTGTTTTTGTGTGAGTCTATTTTATGCCTGTTTCCTCATTGACCGTTGTCTGTCTGTCGCATTATCCAGTCTACTGCAATCAGGAAAATCATTCGCGGTGGTAGACAGCCTTGTCTCACTCCCGTCCTCACTTCGAAGGCTTCCGTAAGTTTCCCGTTGTGGATTACTTGGCATGCAGCATTGTCGTATAACTGTTGGATGAGATGTATAATTGTCGATGGGACCCCGTAGTAGCGAAGTAGTTTCCAAATGACCTCTCGATCGACGCTGTCGAAGGCCTTTTCAAAGTCGATGAAGTTGAATGAGGTGGAGAGGTGACTGCCATTCCAAGCTTTGTTCAATGATGATCCGTAGAGTGGCGATTTGATCAATACATGATTTGTTTCTCCTGAATCCAGCCTGTTCCGGGCGAAGTTTTTCATCTAGGGCTTGTTTGATTCTCTCCAGGATGATGCGACTTAGTATCTTGCTTGGAATGGACAGAAGCATAATTATGCTCCGACTATCAAGTATAGGAAATCAACGATACAGGATTTGACCAGCCCGTGTTCTCTGTGACAGACACGATGTAAAGCGTGGAATTGATGTATTACTATGTTGTTAGGTAAATAATTGACGCTTCTATTATCTCCTATTTGTAATCTATGGGGTGACAACTACATCAATTAACGGATAATCTCAACTGATGTAACATTAGTGTTATTAATACTTGCTATTGTTTTGTTTTTGTACATATGTATATATATATCTGATTTAACTGTCATTACAAATACAATACCAAATAAGAACTGCCATTAACAATCAATCCATCCCTGTAATATTATCCTTATAATTGTTTTTAATATTATTCGATGCAAATTAGATGCAGTAATGTACCAAATGCTGAAAATTCCACGCAGTAGTAGTACCCTTAGTATTGCTGTTTTGGAATAAAGCAAACTGTTCTTATTATAATTCCGCTTGAAGATTCTACATTGTAATAGAACATCCTGAGAATTCTGCAGTATGCATATGCAAGCATTCTTGCAGCTAAAATATCATAATAATAATAATTGAGAATGTGAAGCCAATATGTCCATCCATCTAAGCCCCTTGGAACATGCCAAAAATGATGTCACATCCCGTTGTATCTACCAATTTGAATGTATGTGTGGACAGACATACATGCATAGACAGGACTCATGGATCTCTGCAAGCGAATAAGGGAAGGCTTCACAGCATATTTTCTCAAAATGGCTCCAGAAGCCGACGGAATCACCAAAACCCATTAATTAGTGAGCACAGATGGCAACCTAGCTCCTCTATTGCGAAATATGTGTGGAGTGTATCCTAAATTTTGTGGAAGCCCTAGCTGACAGGTAGGACGTTTAAACCACCCTAATGCCTTCAAAAATAGTTCGTCATCATACTAAACCACCTTCCTTAGTAAACTTTGTTTTGATACTAGCTAGGCTGGGCAGATGTACTATTATGTCTCTTATTCGGTTTAGTGATTGATCTTCATTGTTATTTTCACCTTCAATATATCCTTTTAACTCGACCTAAGTGTCTATTTCTCGCCCCCTTAACTCTTTATGAATTTCATATGTGCATATTCCTGTGAGAAGTCAGTGTGTATGTGATCCGATTGTTCATAATGTGTAGCACAAATACACAATATAATACACGGTACACAGACAAATTACGTCTTTCTTCTTATTGTTTTGTTTAACTAAATTCATAAAGCGGATTGATTGTTTCAAAATTATCACTATCATCATCATCATTATTATTCTAAGTCTGAAAAGCATGTTACGACCAACAGGAAGGAATACGATACACAACCCAAGCCACGGTAACTGATTAAATCATTTTATATGTATGCACTGTAATTCAACCCGTTGAGAGAGAAAGAAGCCTTACTACCTCTCTCTCTCTCTATCCTTCAGAATCCTGTTACTAACTTCTAACTTTTTATTATTACACACTTAGCAATCTAGTGTTGCCTAATTCTTTTCATAAAATACTCTAGTACACATTTACACACACGCATCTACACAAGCACATACATACCACTCATATACTCATCCATATGCGCGCCTCACACATGCCTACAGAGGACCTCTTTAGTGGGCATAACATAACTACTGAAGAGTAGTACCATTAGTACGGTTTTGGAATAAAGTAAATGATATATATATATATATTCTTTATTCTTAAATTTGATTGGTTGAATTAAGTCTGCGGAGGTGGCTTGAAATATTGACCAATCAAATTTTGGCCTAAACAAAATGACTTCACTAACGCAATAGCCAATAAGCTTAAGGCATATTTTATTCTGACTTATCAATAACAACGACACACACACACACACTAGCTAAATCACTTCTCAATAGTTAGCCCGTGAAGGGTTGTTAACCTCAGTCCATAGAAAGCGCAACACCACCCCAATCACTACTATCAATACTGAAACTTCAAAAACCTATCATATTTTTAACCCGCATCTTCAACCCTTGAGGGGGGAGGGGCGCCTATTGATGAAGAGTCCCAACCTAGGCTGACGAAACAACAGCTGGCTATCCAGTACTTCCTGACTGGTTTTTTCCAATGGATCTCTCTTTAACCGATGCCAGCTCATGATATTGAAATCCTCCAACCAAATGAGGAAAAAAAATATATACATATGGACTTACATTCATTTGAATCTAATTGATGACTGGTGGTCATTGAAGAAAGTGTGCTAGCTTTCTTAAAATCAGCCCATTCATCATTTGTCCCAGTCGATTGATTGGCTTCATTACTCCAAGGATCTAGTTTCCCGCCAAAAGAAGAAAACATAATGAAATAAACAAATGTAATTGAGAGACTGAGGAAATTATAAAGCTTCTGTGTGTTTGGCGAAGGCAGAAACAGAGGCGAGGTATCCAGGAGACAGTGTCCGGTACAAACCCCTTTACTACTAAAATGCATGAAAATCAAGGGTTGAAGACTTCAAGAAATGTCAAAAAATAAATAAATAAATAAACAAGTCACAAACAGATTAGCCGGTTGAATAGTGATCAGAACAATGTGTAACGATTGTTCACAAGCAGTTATTTCGTCCTTATTCACCTTCTCACTTCACATGTTCTTCTAAATGTTATGCAAGAACCTAGACACTAATCAACTCTCACCCTTCCATTCAACGAATTGTTTCCACATAGTACTTTTATGGGGGAGAAATCATTAAAAAAAATGAGTATCTCTTAGTTAATGATGAAATTACCATGATTGACCTGCTGATTGATTTATTGGTGAATTTATCGACATGTCTATATGTATAGACAGCCGCTTTTTTGATGAGACGTTTTGTTTGACTTTGAAAAACTAACTCACAAGAACAAAATTTAGGTTTGTGTATGTGTTTGTGTGTGTTAGCAAATAATTTCAAGAATTTAGTTTTATTTAACTACAAACGACTTTTTGAACAAATGTTATTCATTGTTGGTCTAACAAATAATGATGATGGTGATCTTTCCATCGACGTAGCTCTTCATTCCCACCTGGATAACCATTGGGAACTAGAGTGTACTGAAAAACTGTTTAGCCCTTGTCTGGGAATCTTCAGAAGTTCATACCCATGATTCTATGAGATATGGAGTCTAGGACCTTCAGATAATCAGTACCATCAACCAACGCCAACGGGTTGATCTCCGACTAAATCTCATCACTGATACAGATGGCTAGTTTCGCATATGCCAGTTTACGCTGTCTCCGGCATAGTAGATGTGATATCCGGCTGGCCGTCGACCAAAGGGCGGGTGTACTGCTCATCAGTCCTCTCCGTCCTCCTTTATGGCTGACTGTGAGACATGGTGGCCATTGAGAGTGGAAGACATGAAAAGCCTGGCTAATTGTCTTTGATAATAGGTGTCTGCGTTCTATTTCCCGTGTGAAGTGGTATAATAAGGTGAGCAATATTGAGGTTAGGCTTCAGTCGAGTGCTATGTAAGGAGGGGAAATCAATCGACGAGGCCGTGAAATTACGTCGATTGAGAGAGATGGTTAGGACATGTGTTACGCATGCATGCCTAGTCATCGCCTTCCTCGACAATGGGCAATGGTAGCTGACATAGAGTCAGGCTAGAAAAGAGCTAGCGGCGGTCAAACCAAAACATGGCACCAGTCAGTGAAATCCACAACAGTTAGCCTAAGTCACGTAGGTAGGTGTAGACTTCCTGGTTGGGGTCCTCGGGACGGTAAACACCAATGGCTGGAGACAATCGGTGATATGGCTCAATGGCTGGCACAGATGCATCCACTCCCTGTGACTTATGATTTCCAATGAAACTATCTTGTTCTTCGTTATTACTATTCCTTTGTTTCACGCCTCTGTTTACTGTCCGTATTATGCATTTCTTCTACTTTCTCTTGCTTTGTGTGCTACATAGAGTGTGGCGACTTGAAGTGCCGCACATATGTGCGAAGTTCGAAAACAGACAGACAGTACTTTACACAGAAGTGTAGCAGTTCGAGTTGCAGCACTTCATGTGTGGCACACAAAGGAGGATAAAAGTGCGAGAAAAAACCGAGATTCGAAAGAATGATAGCAACATAACGCCAATTAAAATACTAAGTCGCATCATCCTGAAGAGGATAAAAGATGCACTGGATATATATAGAGCTCCGCCCACCAGCCTGGAAAAAGCTGGATTTCGAAAAAGCAAATCATGTGCCGATCAAATTGCAACTCTACGCATCATCATCATCATCATCATCATCATCATCGAACAAAGCATTAGAGAGTGGCAGTCAAACTTTCAACTCAACTTCATGGAATTCGAAAAGGCCTTTGACAGATGGTGTTAGCTGTGAAGTAAATTGGAAACCAAGCCAATACTATGGCGTGCATTCCTTAATTATTTATCTGTCTGTCTGTTTTCGACATAGAACAATCTTTAATATTTTTGTAATTTATCCACTTCAACTCTACCCCTTATAACTTTTATCACATATACGTACATTGACTGAGCAATTATTTAGTGCCACTTAATAACCTTTTTCTGTAATATAAATACGACTGTACAGCTTGAAAATGAAGTCGTTGAAAAGAAATTTCTTCGCTGAACAAAAACTGTGTTTTTACTTATGAATAAATGGGTATTTTTCGAGATAGAACTTTGTACCAATGTGCGGAAGTTCAAGTCGCCACAATGCCTCCTTGTAGCATACAAAACAAGAGAACAAAGTAGAAGAAATGCATATTAGAGACAGTAAACAGAGGTATGAGACAAAGGAATAGTTATAACGAAGAACAATATAGTTTCATTGAAAATCATAAGTCACAAGAAGTGGATACATCTTGCACCATTGAGAACGATTTCGAGCCATAACAACAATTGTTTCCAACCATTGGTTTTTACCATCCCGAGGACTCCAAACAGGCAGTCTACACCTTCCTACGTGACTTAAACCAACTGTTGTAGATTTCATTGACTGCTGAGGCCATGTTTTGGTTTGACTGCCGCTAGCTCTTTTTCCAGCCTGACCAATCCTATGTCAGCTAACACTGCCCATCCGTCGAGGTAGGCGATGACTAGGCATGCATACGTAACATATGTCCTAACCATCTGAGTCGACGAAATTTCACAGCCTCGTCGATTGATTTCCCCTACTTACCAACTAGCACTCGACACCTAACCTCAATATTGCCAACCTTATTATACCCGCTTCGCACCGGAGATAGAGCTCATTCAACAGCTGATTATATGACAACGGCAGGTGTCAGGTAATCCACAACGGAAAACGATCTCATCCATGTCATCCTTGGACATATGCCAAACTCTTCGCTTCCCATTGGGATTCCATTCGAGCGATGGCTTGCATTGCACGCGATGTCATTATTCAACGGTCTCATCAGTGTGTGCCCATTCCATCCTCAATTTCTCCTGCAAATTTGTTGAGCAATCGGTTCTTGATTGGTTTGTTCCCATAGTTTCTCATCGTTAATTATTTCTCACCGGACATCTGATCTTCATTATGGAGTCCGTATGTCTGTCTGTCTGTCTGGATTCAACATAGAACTTGGCACCGAAGTGCACCAGTTCGAGTTGCCACGTTCCAAATAGCACACAGAGGTAGACAAGAAGATGAGTGAAGAGAATCACTACAGTCTGACAAGTATAAGAGTGAAACAGAATGGGTAATGGTAGAAAGAAATATGAAAGTTCACAGAGACTGAATACATCTGCGCCATTGACAACGATTTTGAGCCATGTCACCACCTATTGTCTCCAGCCATTGATTCCTAGAATCAGTCCCGAGGGCCCCAACCCGGAAGTCTGCATCTCCCTACCTGACCGACTCAGTTTAACTGTCAAGGATTTATTTCATGGATTGATGAGGCCATGTTTTTGTTTGGCCACCACTGGCTCTTTTCCAACCTGAACCTATATCAGCTAGCAAAGCCCGTCGGGGGAGGCGGTGGTTAGGCATGCGCAGCACCTGTCCTAGCCATCTCAATCTATGTAACTTTATAGCCTCGTCGATTGATTTTCCCTCTTTGCCCAACACTCTACGCCTAACATCAACATTACTTACCTTATTAAACCACCTAACATGAGACAGAGATCGCAGACATCTTTGATCGAAAGCAGTCAACCTTTTCATGTCTTCAACGCGTATTGGCCGTATGTCTGCAGTAACCTGCTGCAAATGCTTTCTGTTACGCACACTCCAAGTTCATAACCCATACGAAAGAACTGACTGACTGACTGACTTAACAATAGGTGTTGAAGAGAATTCGAATTTTGTTGTTGATGCATAGTGCAGAGGAATAATGAAGGTTTACCGTGTTCTTTCCGATTCTGGCCCTCCACTGTACTGCCATCTCTAAATTCAACATTCACATTCACAAACACACACAAATTAGGCTCTTGAATAGTAGTAAAAGCTTTCGTTTCGTTCTCTCATTCACCATCTGGTCTTCTAAATATCATCCTAAGAGTAAAGGCAAATATGCCTCGCACGCTTCGTATTCAGGTCCCACTCAATGGCCTGGAGTTTTCAATGTCACTCGAAGGTGTCTCTAAAGTGTATGTACGTGCAATGTCTATCTACTCCTGCCCGTATGTCAGAATATATATTTTTTTTTTGGTTGATAAATAGGACTACTGATATGCTGGGGAAGATTTGTAGCTCAGGTAGATGATTATTGTTGTAGTTTCTCCAGAAGTTTATAAGTCATCTCTGCTGGTGACCTTGAACATCAAGATTGCTTGGTTTTCGTGTGTTTTCCCTCGGGGTCCACAAGGAAATCACAGAGAAAATCGCCCTACCATATATAAAGGACATCTCAGAAATCACCGGAAGACTCTTCAAACCTCTAGGAATTGACGTCGTACACAAACCAACAAAGTCACTTCACTCAGCCAGCCATGTGTCAACCAAAAAACTCAAGAGCGAACGAAGATAAAACCAACACCATCTACAAAATAAATTGTAACAACTGAGAAAAACACTACACTGGCCAGAGTGTAGACGTCCCCTTCGTCTTCGTATCCATGATCAGAAACTAGCCGCCAAAAGACATGATATCCACTCTCTCATATCACTGTATACAGACAACCACGGATATCAATTCTACTGGGACAACGTTCAAATATCAGACAGACGAAACACCAAGAACGTCAGAGAATTCCTAGAGGCCTGGTATTCCAATACATCGTCAATCAATAGACACATCACCATAGACAAATTTACCAATCGATGAGAAGGAAATCTCACACACACAAAAGGTCAAACTTCAGATCAAGGAAACAATCAATACCGATACAAGTAGCCTAGAAAGTGTGAGAACACACGTAAATAACCAATCACGTTCAAGGTCACCAGGAGAGATGACTGATAAACTAATGGAGAAATCTAAAAGCTCACTTCATCAGATTGAAGTATGCGCTGAAAATGTTGTTGTCTAGGTGGTGGGGGGCAATAAAAGCTTCGCTAATGAACCATCCAGCTGGCTAGCTCAGAGAACGTAACTACATCAAATTGAGGCTACTGGCCGTCTAGTTTTGATATGCAAAGTGAGCGCTCTAGAGCCACCCAGTGAGTTACACCACTCCTAAAATCATCATTCTTTAGAAGTCTAGAGGTATTATATCAAAGCAAAAGCTCAAATATTTAGTGGTCTTAATAATTTCTCAAGGAAAACATACCGCGAATTTCATTGAATGTGTTAACGATTCTCCGAATTAACTAGTCAGGATTCAAGCGATTTGAACCAACTGGCCTCTGTCTCTCTCTCCCTCTCTCTCTGAGTTGAACCAAGCCTTGTAGAGTATACCGATCACTCATAAGCTCACCACCTCAAACGAGTGAACAGAGATGGGGCTAGTGTTTTTTTTTCATAGAATCGCTTAAACTCAGGGGATTCAGAAAACCAGGCTATTGTGTGTATGTGAGAAAAAGGGGACTGATGATATCTTCACTTACAACCAGGAGTGGGTGAAGCAAGACCCCGATCTGACGAGCAGTCAAACGGAGAAGGATAAGGAGGAGGAGAAAACACAGACAGTTAACACTGCTCGTCCAGGATAGCAGTGGTACCACAAGCATCAATAATAATGATGATGAACCTAAGCATAGAACAGAAAGCCATTCGATGTAGTTATGAAGTTGAGATATCTGTATGACGCATTCTGAACCACTACCCCAATTTCGGAAAGCAATGTTGGATGACAACATATAAAAGAGAGAATGAAGGAACAGTTAAGCATCGCCATGACGCCTTTCACTTTTGATTTGAACCCGCCGTAAAAGCAGGCAGGTGTCATGTCTAGTTGACTGGATGGCTGGTAACCTCGGGAACTCCCCCCGCCACCTCCCGAATAGGAGGGGGACGGGGCAGGGAAAGAGAAACAGGCACACGTCAGAGATTCCCAAAAATCAGCCATCATCGAAACAAATATCAAAAAGATCAATCTATTTGGACAGAAAGAGTTATAGTTTTGAATGAATCATCACAGAGACTGGAAGCATGCACTGCTGTTTCACGCCGACAGTTGCACATCGCCTGTTTACAATGGGGCTAAAATTAACACCATTACATAATTTAAATGTCAATCAGAAGATTCATGGAGAGAATAAACAAAGAAAGAAGACTAGGAAGCGAAAATTAAACACTGCTAAAACTTACTGTCGATTTTTGTATTGTAAATCTGCTTAATACTTTCGGAAATCTTCAATTCTTCAATCGGTTTACGTAAAATATCAACTGAAATAACAACAGTAGACAGAAAAATGTTTGTTGGAATTTGATTGGTTACAAGATTTCATCATGAGCTGACATTAGTTAGAGAACCATTGGAGAGTACTGGACAGCTGTTTCATCCTAGTTTGGGACTTTTCAGCAGCACGCACCCACCGGGATTCGAACCCACGACCTTCTGGTTACAAGGCGAGCTCGTATACCATTAAGAAAAATGTTACACTAGTCGCTTGAAGTTTCTGTAGCAGTGTTTATTTCACAGAATGGGATTGCTAGCCTCATGCCTAATCTTTCCTCTTTACCAGCATTATTTCTGACTCAGTGAGGTAAAGGAGTGCGTCAGTGACCGGGGATCGAACCCCGGAACATGTGCATGACCGGCGAGCGTCCTGACCGCTATCCCACCGATGCACGATGCGTGTTAATAGTATGTTAAAGAGGTTAACTCATTTTCAAGGATTACTCTGTAAGCGTTCAATTTCTTTCAAGTTTCAGCCAGCTATCTTGTTCAAGTCTGAGACTATTCAAAAGTACGCATCCATCACCAGCACTATACCAACACAGGAGTTCGAACCCAGGAGCTCTCTAGGTAACAAGGAAAGCTTGTAGACCATTCATTCAGTCACTAGGACCTGACTCACTGGTCAGTCGTCCTTAACTTCTACCAAAATCAGGAATTTAACACGATTGCCACGAGCCAATGTCCTTGCCGATGAGTACTTTGTCCTTCCACCTGTTACCATGGTGGACCTCACTCCTGCTCCTATATGAAGTTGGCGATGTGGCTTTAAGATGCAGTTGGGGGTGATTTTATAGCGCTCATTGTTATTTGTGGTCACAGAATGAAGTGCGTCGGTGACACAGTGGTTGGGACTCTCGCCGATCATGAACATGGTCCGGGGTTCGAGCCCACGCCGACACACACCTGATACCTATGGTCGGCCTGCGAATTTTGGGCTTCCGATATCCACGCTGAAAATTCCACACTTGTCACAAAAATACAGTGTGGAATCAAGCTGTAATCAAAAAAAGATGACTCACTAGCCTGCAGAAGAGTACTAACTGTAGTAGAGAAGCAAGATGAGGAAGGTGATGTGAGTAAAGGAGAATGATGCTCAGGAAGGCTTCATGTGCTTTTGGAAGTGTGTGGGCGGTTGTTACTTCCCGGCTGCCCACACCATGGAAGTTGTTGGTTGATTCTTTGGGTAACTGAAACAGAGAGAGGGTTAGTGTTGCATGACCGCTGAGCCCAGGGGACAACTGCTTGAGGCCTGTATGAACTGGTTTCTTGATTTGGTTTCATATCAGTAAACTTACCACCGGTTACGGACCACCGTAGGTAGGGTGAGTCTGGATGTACAATTTTTGGGGTCGACCTTTTCTAACCCCGCCTCTCTCCAGCAGAGGGGAGAGACAGCATAGCTGGCTGGTATAATGGTCATCTGAGAGAAACACCTTACTGCAGTTGTTACATCCCTGTTCCCCAGTAGTACGACTTCGCCCTCGGATTCTTACACAATACCGGTAACTGCTTTTAGTCTAATCGCTATCCTAACAATCTTCCTAGCATGGTAGGACGTGTAGGAACATTGGTTCCAGCCATTGCAGCTTGTTGGATCATCGCGATGTGCAAGCCCGGCGACCACCACGTCTGCTAGGTAGCAGCTATCGGTCACAAGACATAAAAAAAACGAGGAAAGCAACAAGAATCATAAAACACGGTGGTGGTCTATTACACGCATACACCACTTACATTCACAAAATTCTTCATTCCCTTTAAGAAGTGGATTACTCTTGAACAGTAGACCACCAGCTGGTGCATAGCTATTGGTCAGCTTACTGGAATGTTGTTGTTTAATTTGAATTGGTGACTTTAAATCCTCCTCTTCGTCGTCGTCATCGTCTTCGTCATCAACATCATCGACACCTTCACCCTCACCTTCATCTTCGACATTATGAGTTTTCGCCTCTTCACAACCTTCATCATCACCGTCATCGTCATCGTCACTCATAGGATTACTGCCACTACTATTACTACTACTACGATGACGAAGACTCCGATGGTGATTAACTTTCGAGGTTGTTTCATCATCATTCCCCATCGCCACCTCGTCATCATCATCAACATTGTCGTCGTTTTTAACACATAAATTAATCTGTCTAAAAGACTTTGATGTGAATCGATGCAGAGTACTGGGAGTCTGTTGGTCACTTTTTCCGTGTTGTTCCCTATCATCACCATCATCGACTTCCATATCATCTGGATCTAACCACAAATCAGATAGACTACAGGATGAAATACCACCACCGCCTCCAACACGACCACTAACATTATTTCTCCCACTGATAAGAATATCAGAAGATGGCTGAATTGGAAGCAGGGTAAACGGTGATTGATTATCTAACTGTCGGTGTTTTTGCTGTTGATCATCACCTTCATCAATAATATCATCGTCGTCAGCATCATTGTCACCGTTGTTCTCGACACCTGTCGACACCTGTAATGTCAAGCCTTCAGTACTATTAGCTCTACTGCTACTATTACTGCCTCCTCTGATAGCACCATTTAAATCGGATAATTTATGCTGCATTAAATTTAATGAGGATATCGGTGCGAGAACAAATGGGGTTCTTTTGTTAGCGAATCGATGATAAGTAAACAGCGTTGAAGGGAAGACAAAAAAAAATAAGAGAGAGAAGAATTTGTGTAAAATGAATCAATTATTTCATATAAAAATTAGGTTTTTTTAATACAATTTAGACAGGTTCGTCTATTATCAGAGTATTTCCGAAGATCATTTTGCATAGTGGTTAAGTAAGAGAGACAAATACGACCTATACGTAGCTCCGTTTTATTACCATACCTCTTGTAGATAGATAGTGAGAGCACATCACATCACAATGATCCCAATCAATGAAACCATTGAAATCATTTGTCAACAGTCTGATCTTCTCCCACTACCAGAGCCGGAATTCAAATGCCTACAGCTAATGTCTACCATGAGTATACAATCCCAATTTGACAACACTCTTTACCGACAAACAGATGGTGTAGCTATGAACAGTCCACTTAGACCTTTATGTCAAACCTTGAGAAAACAAAGTTGAAGCATGGCAATTAATCAAACAACTTCCTATTGTCAATATGTCACAGATGACACATTTGTAGCATGCAACAACGAAAGTCATGCCTCCTACCTACTCAGACTATTCAACAACGCACATACAAATATTTTATTTACTATGGAACATGAAAATGATGGAAAGTTCCATTTCCTTGAAGTCGTCATACAACGCCTAGAAGATGGTAGTCTCCAGAGGTCAATCTACCGAAAGCCCACATGGAATGGACAACACTTACATTTTAATAGTTTTTGTCCAAATAATGAGCTATTAACGAGCACCAGTCAAGACTCTGTACAACAAAGCAAGGAGAATATGCTCTGCAGAGAAACTAGAGGAAGAATTCACGAATCTCGAAAAGGTGCTGAAAAAAACGGCTATCCTCAAAGATTCATTAACAAATATGGAAGATGTGAAGGCTCAAATACCAAACAAATCACAGTTGAAAAAAAGCCTGTCTTCATGCAACTAGATTTTAAAGGTGAAGACATTGCAGAAATGGTCAACAGAAGACTGAGAACGTCACTAGCCAGAGCCTATCCTGCAGCTAGCTAAGTTGGTTCCCGTCCATCGAACAACAGTCAAAGGTCGATAGATACCCTTCTCATGTTAGCTCCAACTGTGTATACAAATTTACGTGTATCTGGGGGAGCAGTTACATTGGGAGAACAGAAAGAAGGGCACAACTCGGATTTTCTGAACATGTGCCGAAAAGCCTACGTCTCAAGGGAACAAACTCTTATGGCAGCGCTATTACCAGACATCTCTTCAACACGGGTCATGAGGTGGAAATCGAGAAGTCCTTCAAAATTGTCAATAGACAAAGGAGCTCCATTCTCCTCAAGTTTGCCGAAGGAATTTCTATCAAACGCTTGAAACCAGATTTATGTGTTCAGAAAGAAGCAGTTATTAGTCTTTCCTTGCCCACCTGGTAACTGGATGTCTTTTATTCTCTCATCTGATTACGTAATCTTTGTCTTTAACCTCACCCCCCCTCTTTATAATCTGTAATTTTGCTTGTCTCTTGTTTCTATGATTTGAGTTCAACTCAGTACATTGTTACCTAACTTATTAGTCACTATGCATCTAACGCACATCTCATCTTTATTATGCAACTCCTTTACTATTATATGCACACATTTATTTTGTTTTAACTTGAACTGCCTGTGTAAAAACTATATAAGCGCAATTTACTCATTGTGGAACTTTCTGTCAACTGAAAACACGTAAAATTTGCAAATATGTTAAAACGTTTCTGTACTTAAACCTCATAATTTATTTAGGCTGTAAGTAGCAGCTGATGAGAAGCCAACGAAATAAACACAGGATGGTACCATATTATTCTGCAAAAACCACCACTGTTTTTCTTGCTTTATTCAAGGAGCACATAAAGTTGACGTTTAAAGTAACGACAGAAGACAACAGGCCAGGCAACAGATCGTTTATTGACAAAATCAACAGATATTTATAAATTTTTATGTACATTATTGTCAGCGAAGAAGCAACCTCCTCTGATTGGTTGTTTTCTTGCTCAAGGTTATTATTCTGTTATCTCTTCGTGGCTGTTTCTCAGAAGGTGAAGCCAAATATATCTGCGAATCATATCTCCACACGTTAACTTCTCTGTGATTGGTTGGTGATTTTTTCAAGGTTATGCTATGTTATTGTTTTCCCCATGGCCCTGATTCAGTACGTGAACATTGTCCACAACTATCCAATGTGATTGATTATCTTTCTTTTTCTTCTAAAATTACAAATGTTACAAGCACACACACTAACATCAAGTCAGCAGAAGTCAACACGCTTGGTTACCATGATTGCAGAAGTGGTTGGATGATGATTTTCTTTTATATGTGTAACTCTGGTTTTTGTCCAGTTGAATGGCTAGGGGCTTTAGCAATATACACAGAAGACGTAAGAGTATCCTCCACGTTGTAGATTACTTAGAAGGAGGCGTTTGCTAACATGGAATGAATGACCTGTGTGTTGACGAGATGTTCGATTATCGCACTCCTCATACAGCCACTATTACCTTTTATACGTGTCTCCAAAGCCTCAGGATGGTCGGGGATGGGTGCCTTGCGCTGCGGGTTGGCCACCCCTCCACACACCTCTTGAAATGCTCCCATATGACCGGGCGTCTTACATAGCCTCTCCTGAGGAAGTCCTACTCACTGCCTTCATGTGGCGGAGGTGTTTATTTCACCGAAGTGAGAGGGCAAAAGCGGATGCCCGGCACTCTTCACCGGGTTGACTGTCCATTGGATGACAGTCTAGGGGAGATGGCTAAACCCTGATTCCGAACCTCCAACGGCTGGCGTATGAAGCTCACCGGCAGATGTATGGACATAGGGCTTATTGGGTGCCCTGGATGACTGGCCCCATTCAAAAAGGCGAATGAACCGGACTCCGGTCACCGGCTGACTTCCAATGGATAGTGGACTCCCTACTCCACTCCTACTGCCTTGTAGGTCACACTTGGTTGTGTAAAGGCTAGAGCTGCACTCTCAAACGAAAGGCCGAGCGATTCTGGGGACGTCACTCGTACCTAATTCCCATGAAACTTCATGAACTCTCTACAACATCAACCAAATTCCAGTACTGGTCCAACAACGTCGCGTTCGGTGGTTCGACCATGATGTTCTGCACCGACCAGATGACGATCTGGTCAAATCAGTTAAAAATCCCTCGCCATTTCCATCTTGGCGATGTCGCAGGGGTGGACAGCTGAAAACATGGCTTGGTACAGTCAGTCAAGGCTGATATGGAGTGCCTGGGCTGGGGCTACAAACCGTCTACGGACTCCGTCTGTAGAACAAGAATTGGATAACCCTGTCACAAAACCTTGCATCAGATCGCCGCGCCTGGGCAGCGATGATTCGAGATGTTCATGGAGCCGCCTCATCCTCCCGTAGGAGATAGCCGAAGTAAAGTAAAGTAAGTATTACCTTTGCCATGCAGGGGGTAGTGTTCTTAAACCCCCTATTACGTAACTGTACTACGCTTATTCAACTTCTTTTTTACGTGTTGATCAAAATTAATAACTATGTGTGCTTTTTGAAAACACATCACCACCACTACCTTCTCAGTAATCTCCGGCCCACCACCACCACCACCCTAGATAAAATTTGATTATTCATGACATTTTCTGAAATGTCTTGACAACAATAACCCTAAGTGATATTTATTCATATCGAGCAAATCTAATGTACACACACATATATATATTCGAAAATAAGTATACATAATCACGATTGTACAGGTAAAGATGAATGAATGAATTCGCCGCCGAAAAGAGACTCTTCGTTGAACTACGCGTTTTGTATACATACCAGTAGAACCGATATCATTACTTGAAAATTCGCAGTGTGTGTATTGCTCAACGATCCATTCACAACACAATTCCGTGCAGCTAGTGGCAATGAACCTCACCTATTGTGTGTGTGTGTGTGTGTGTGTGTGTGTGTGTGTGTGCGGGGGCTGGTTATACTGTCCGAGGTTGCCCACACCTTTGTGCATTAAGGGGGGGGGGGTCCGAACGCATGACTCACTACTGAGAATTTGAGTGCCCAGATTAATCAACCATTGCTGCTCTACATCCCACAGTGAGTTATCACTTTAAACTGTCTGAAGCTGGTATCTATAACGAATCTAATTCTAAGCGCATTTGCCAGTTCGCCCAGAATGGTGTTTCAGCTAGTTTTTACCACTTTCTCAGCTGACTGATATTGAGTGCAACGGTGATGAATTCGGACTTTAGAAAGCAAAACGTACTGATTCTCCAGAGTTTAGATTTTCTAAAATCTGGCTTGCGCGCACACACATGCATACACCAGTGTTTAACGTAAATCACTAAGAGATAAAACTGGCACAACTATTGTACACAAATGCTAAGTGAATATAATCACTTAGGTGGACATATATCTGTGAAGGATAATCGATATTTTTCACTTAATAATAATGGCAGACCAGCGAGACCAGATTCGCTCATATCTGAGCAATGGATTCCCTTCCCCAAGTAAAACTTAAGTACCACTCTACCACCTACCTCATAGACACTGGTACTGAGGGGATAACAGTATCAATACGAATCGACAAGTAAATATGCCTTGTCATCAATAGATTGTATACCAAATGTTAAACCTAAAGAAGACTTCTGGATGATTACAGGATTTCACTATGAGCTAACATTAGTTAGAGAACCATTGGAAGTACTGGACAGCCGTTTGTCCTAGCTGGGGACTCTTCAGCGGTGCGCACCCACCACAAGGGAGTTGGAACCCAGGACCTTCCAGTTACAAAGCGAGCTAACTCGTAGACCATTAAGCCAATGGGACCCGATCCAGTGGCTAGCCCATGAATTCTAACTTCTGCCGATCAACGACATAGCGCGATCCCTAGCCAACACTTGAATGTCAATGAGATGCTCACTAGCGTCTAGCCCTATTCAGGTAGATAGTTACCTGGGGTTCTAGTGAGAAGTGGTGACCAGTAGGGTGCAGCAGGTCCGGTGTGAGGACAAACACTCGCCGAAGACATTGGCTAGTGCCAGTCACGCTATGTCGTGAATTGGGAGAAGTTAGAATTTATGGGTCAATGGATTGGGTTCCAGTGGCTCAATGGTCTACGAGCTAGCTCGCTTTGTATAACTGGAAGGTCCTGGGTTCGGCCTCCCCTATGGTTGGTGCGTACTGATGAAGAGTCCCAAACTAGGACGAAGCAGTTGGCTTTCCAGTATTCCCAGGTTTTCCAATAGTTCTCTAACTGATGTCAGCTCATGATGATATCCTGTAACCAATCAAATCCCCACAAACCAACACTTGAATTTCTGGATGAATTACAAGTTGTCGCGAAACTGGTCAGTTTGCAGAAGCAGAAAGCCAAGCTGATCATCTCTCAGCCAACGTATATTGATAGTTCTGGCAAAAGCCGTCTACAACAGTTCATGTAGAGCTCGATTGAGGTTGTAGAAAGGCCAGTTTCGGAGTTCCACAACACAGAGAACTAAGAATTGATGCAGATGAAGACCCATGAGGTTTTAGCAGTACTACTGATAAATCCCTAGAAAAATTCATAATCAACCTTAGATATAGATTCAAAAGTGCCAGTACAAGTTTTTCAGTTCATGGAATGCATTCCTACTATCATTAGTATCACTCATCAGCCACGGTTAGTGAAATATGTAGCAACTCCCCGCCTCCCCTTCTCCACCACTGCAAGAAGTTGGCAATATTGGGGGAACGAATGACAGATCAGTGCGAAGGAAAGCAGACTAACGAGTGTTACTCTTGTTGCTGACTTAAGATAACACGATATTATCAGAGAAAAATTGTACAAAAAAGAAGACATTGCTCGACATACTACTTATATCTGCTTATAAGTAGAACACATCAAAAAGACAGAAATAATTCACATAAAGATAGAAAAAAATAAATAAGTAAATTCAGCAAATTACTTGGATAGATTTAAACCGCCAGCAGCCAAACTGAGTAACTATAAAAATCAAATACAGAAAAAATAAAAGTGTAAAGGAAACATGAATATATACACATGTAGATAGAAAAAAATCAGATGATAACAGCAACAATCTAACAACCGTATTCTCATGAATGCAGGAATACTGCAAGATAGATAACTATGCACATATATATGTATGCCGGTAGCGATTATTTTTCCCCGGTTGTCCACGACCGTACATACACACGCACACACAATGGAAGTTGATTTCCTCCCGAAATTACTTAAAACAAAAAATGCATTAGTGTGTTGCATGACTGTAGAGCCCATGAGACGGCTTGTTTGAAGTGGGTTTTAGATTTGCGCCTGTATGAGGCGTAAACGACGGCTAAGAACAGCTACAAGGTAGTAAATCGGGATGTAAAATGTTTCGGGTCATTCACTTCTAAACCACCATCACCAACCCCTATCCTCCCTCAAATGAAAGTGGAAAGGCAGAGTACCTGACTTGATGGTTGTCTAGTGTGAGTAACTACCTACCATCTTACTGCTAATTACATCCTTCGTCGACCAGAGGTCGGACTTCTCTCTCAGACCTCTCTAACACAGCGTAAACAGAAGTCAACTGGTGGTAGGTGCTACCCGTGGAGTACAGGACAACGCGCATTTCGTCCTATTTGGGACTACTTATCAGCGGGATATACCTGCCTACCCCAGTGAGTGATGGTGTTCCCGACGAGGCTTGAATCTACTGCCCATAGTTTCAAACGCCAAGGCGTTATCCACTAAAATTGACCCGTTGCACAAGAGATGGTTCGCGTGGCCAAAAGGGTCTAGTGGGTAACGCCAAATTCGTCAATGATATAGTATCTTGGCCATATCTGATAAGGTTTCCAACCACGGATTCAAGTTATCTCTCGGACTCGAACCCAGGGAGTTATGAAGTATCAATGAATGCTAAGCTGAAAAAAAATATCCTTCATATTATGGCATCACATCATAGACTCACCCCCTCTCTGCTTTTTCTAACACCAAGCGGTATCGAAGCCTCTGGGATGACATTTGTAGCACATGTCCAAGCAACCAAAACCGAGGCTTTAAGACAACCACACTCAGTGAGAATGGTGACCTCCATACTGAGTTCGTACACACGCAGCCGAACATCAGAATTGCCCACACAGTTATGCCGTTGGACACAAGCTATTCTACGGAGGTGACGATGATTGAATGCTCAGAGTCGCTACACATCCTAGGCTAGGAGAAGTCAAGTTTCACAGGGGGCAGAATAAGACTACGCGCACCGAAGCACTGAAGTAACCAAACTTTCATAGCCATGTTGACATCGCGAAGGAGCTAAAGTCGATCCAAATTGGTGTATACCACACCTAAGGTTTCATTCCACAGTCAGAAATTTCATCTGTCATACTATGATTGCAGCTATCCAAACAACCGTTCGGATATGGTAGGATCTGTAAGAATATCTAATCCGGCCAGTGTAGTAGGTGGCGAGTTCATTATGATACGCAGTAATAATCACTACTGTAAGGTATCGACTATCGAAACGTTGTATGTAGAAATATTTCACGTAACCAATTAAAATAGATGATTAGACACATTCAAAAAAACACGATTGTTCTCACACCACATATTATGCAATTAAACGTATTGTAAGGTATACTATACACACACACACGCATATATGTGTGACATTGTTATTAACCAGTAACGACATAAAACCAACCAACATGACTATTGAGAATGACTTTCAACCACATGTTACATTTAAATCACTTAATGTATGCATATGTCAAAAGTTCAAGGTCATCATAATACTAATTATAATCTATCCTGTAATTGTAATTAACTATCACATGTAGCTAGCCAGCCAACAAACAACAATAACTAACGATAACGCTACATACTTCGAGAATTAGTGACTAGCTGGGGAATTAACAATCCACCTTCGGTTCGTTTGTTAAGAACTTAACTGGCTAGTTGCATCTGCTATTCCAGTGAGCAGTGACTGTTTTAAGGAGGGGTTTTGAAAACTTGGCAAGCATGGTAATATGGCGATGCTTGGCTGTGAAGGGAATGCCGAAAAAAATACAATGCACTCACTCTACTCGAATTCATGCAGCCAGTCACTTGAGACACTACAGAGAGTTATAATCTGCAGTGGTGACCACTAGTGGTGTCCATCACGGATGCCCACTATCCTCGTTTCTATTCAACATCATCATAGATGTACTACTAATGGACTTAACTCTAAGTGACTTCAACGACTCAGGGGTTGGCTTGTTACTAGGGAGGGAATAATCTCGTTGACTTAGAATATGCAGATGACATAGTCCTCCTGCCTAGGTGAGGTCAAGATACTGACAAAGTAGAGCATAGTCTTTTGAACACTTTGAGCTGCAATCTGTGGATGTTTGACATGGGATTCGCTCCCACCAAAATGTAAGACGATGATGCTACAGGACTGGACTACATTGACACACTCCTAACTCAAAGAAAGGGAGAGAGTGAAGTGGTTGGTGGAGCGTGTTGACCACTTCACTTATTTCATTTCAGAAGTTGAATCAACCAGAAGTCTCGTTTCACATATGCCAGTTCACGTCGCCTCTGGCGTAAGCGTATTATCCAGCTGGCTGTCGACCAAAGGACGTGTGTACCGCTCAGCAGTCCGCTCCATCCATCTTTATGGCTGTAAGATCTTATCATTGAGAGTGGAAGGCATGAAACGCTGACTAGATGTCTTTCATCACAGGTGTTAGGAGGTATATAATAGCGTCAGGAATATTGAGGTAACGCATCAGTCGAGTGCTAGATAAGGAAGGAGGGGAAATCAATCGACGAGGCTGTGAAGTTACATCAGTTAAGAGAGGTAGTTAGGACATGTGTTACGTATACCTTCCTCGACGGGCAGTGTTAGCTAACATAAGGTCAGGTTGGAAAACAGCCACTGGTGGTCAAACAAAAACACGGCTTCATCAGTCAATGAAATCCATAACAATTAGTTTAAGCCACGTAAGAAAGTGTAGACTTCCTGGTTAAGGTCCTTGGGACGGTAAAAACTAATGAAGTCTGGAGACAATTGGTGATATGTCTCAAAATCGTCGTTTTCAATGGCTGGCACAGATGCATCCACTCCTTGTGACTTATAATATCCAATTAAACTATATTGTTCTTCGTCTCATATCTCTGTCTACGGTCTCTGTTTTGCATTTCTTTTTACTTACTTCTCTTGTTTTGTGAACTACATGGAGGGAGTGTGGCGACTCGAACTGCTGCTGCTGCACATCGGTGCAAAGTTCTATGTTGAAACCAGACAGTCAGTCAGTCAGTCGGCAAGAGTGCATCACAAAAAGCGATTCCTCCAACAACTGTTCCCTTTACTGAATCGATATTGAACATTATATGACCAACAACAAGGAGTGCCGACAACGAAACAATTCAAGAACACATAACCGAACACACATTCCAAAGAAAATTGAGATAGATAGGACAAACTCTATGGAGAGAATCTTTGAATGATGTAGCACGACAAATTTTCAAATGGAACCCGAATGGGAGACGATAAGTTGGAGATTGGTTGGAAAGTGGTGACTTCTCAGAGGAGGAGATAAAAGTTTATTGGGCAAATGCGAAACCGCCAGCTAAGTGGGCTGGGTGAGGAAGAGAGGGTGGACTGCAGAGGACAGGATGATGAAATGAAGAGATGAATTGTTGAAACCTTAGAAGTAATAACAATAATCCATGACCATTTTTGGCATCAAATGAACAATTGTCCAGTTTGTTTAAAACACCATTTCGACAACGCGGTGACACACAAACACACACACAGGGCACCAGAAACAAATTTCAACCAAAAACAAAAAAATTTACATTCATTAGTTTAAACGAGTTTAGAGACAATGATCCATACACCAACGATCTCACAGATCACCTTCCAAAGACCAATAGTATGTAATAATACTCAAGAGTTGATTTGATATCAGTTAGAGAATCTTTGAAAACCAGAACTAGAGTGCTAGACAGCTGCTGTTTCATCCAAGTTTCGGACTCCACTTCGGTAGTAGGCACCCATTGATTTTCAATGGTTCGGTTCTCTAACTGGGCGGTCAATCTGTGGTCTGACCGGAAACAAATAAAGTCCCTCCGAAAACCAATTCTTCAAAATTAATCCAATCCTCACTAGTGACTGACTGTCTACAGAACGAAGTTGACTGAAGTGAGTTCTAGTGAGAAGTCGTGACCAGTCGGGAGGGAGGATGGATGGAGTTCCCACCGATGACATTGGTTGGTGGTCGTGCTAAAATAGAATCACGAATCAGTATACGTTAGAATTCATGGAGTGGCCATTGAATCGGGTCACAGTGGCTGAATGGTCTACAAGTTTCCCTTGTAACCGGAGGGTCCTGGGTTCGAATCCTGAAAGTGAGTTCGTACTGCCAATGAGTTCCAAACTAGGACAAAACAGGCGGCTGTCCAGTGCTCCTTGCTGGTTTTCAATGTTTTTCTAACTGATATGAATCCGTGGTCAAACTCGAAAAAAATAATAATAAATAAACAAAAAAATTTAAAGGAAGGGGGGGGAAGAGGGCGACTTACATCTGATGAATTTGAGAGCAATTTATTTAAATTATATTGTGTAATTAATCGGAGTAGGCCTCCCTCTTGACTAATAGTCGTACTTTCGCTTAAATCCTGTAAGAGTAGAGAAGACAATTATTAACATTATTATTATTATTATTATTATTATTATTATTATTATTATTATTAAGACACAAATTTCGTACATTATGGACCTTTTGGTGCCCATACACACAAAACTGTCTGACATTAGATGGTTGGAGGCAATTGGCCATAGGAAGCCTTACCTGACCAAGGTTTCGTGCTTGTTGTTGGCACTCTCACCAGTCAGTCAGTCAGCAAGGTGCATCTCCAACTACCTTAAAGGAACAACTCAAATCCCTAGTGAGATTCTAACCCGCATCACCCAAATGGTGCCTACAGTCAGAAACATGACCATCACTGAGCAGCAGTCCGGGTTGGCGATTGGCCGCCTGTAGGACTCTATACTGGATACTTTGATTGGACACCAGCAACTAATTTAACTCGCGTGATATGCCTAGTCTTTTGTTTGGTGTAGACTGAGTTCTATCAGTCATGTGTGAAATGTGACCAGCATTCTAGTTGGCTAGGCATTACGATGTAGTGCACTTTGAATTGTTAATACTAGATGGATGGAGACAGTCGACCACAGGAAGCCGACGAGTGCCAACTAACACGAAAGCTAAATCAACCAAGACTTCCTTCCGATTGCCTCTAATCATCGTGATTGCTGAGCCAACTAGTTGATGATGGCCACATTGCAAACTTGACTGACTGGCAGAATTCACTCTGCACCAAACAACAAAGGACTAGACACAGTACACTCGATACTGACTAGTGTCCAATCAAAATAAATTGTCCAACAGCTGTGCGAAGGAAGAGATACTACTCGAAGAAGATAATTTTCTTACGAGGGACCAACACCTCTCCGTCGAGCTCATGACTTGAAGCCTGATCTCCCTACAAGGAAGTGGAACAATGTTAAGAGCTACTGTATTATCCCCATGGTTCCAGGTGATCAAAACAGGTCCATAAGTCATTCAAACATTTTGGATTCTAGACACTATGCAAACAGGGTTGTCGAACTCCTCTAGGTAGACTTGCATGTTTATCAATCCGACGGTTTTAATTACGAGACGTTCAAATTCACCTATTTACTGTTTTTGTGACCCATGACAATATACTGAACCTAAGGTCCATGTTAAAAGACACAAACTGGGATCTATTTACTGAACAAGCTCTTGATAACACAATTGCCAACATAACACATTATCTTAATTTCTGTCTTGATGTTTGTTGTCCAAAAGAGACAATCTTCTTAAAATTCGATCGCTTCTCCTCTACTCAACTCAAAAAGCTCCGCCGTGAAAAAGAAAGGTTGTTCAAAATGAAAAACAAATCTGGTGTTAAGAGAATGAACACTTTGATTAAGCTTGAATTACAAAGATTGAATGCTCTCTATAACCAGAAGTTTCTTTCATGTAAATCCCCATCAAATATGTGGAAGTTATTAAAGGAAATCACAGGTGGTAAGCAAATGTTGAATGATATTTCTGTAGATGTTAATACGCTTAATGAATCCTTCATATGTATCCCAGCAAATGTTATGATTCCTAACTCAAATAGTGTAAACAATGACTGCTTCTCATGCTTAAACACGAATGATGTCCTCAAGTGTCTTCAATCTCTCAAGCCTACTCAGTCCCTCGGTCCTGATGGTGTTCCTGCTGTTATCCTTAAGAGTGTGCCGACATCTTGTGTTCCCCGCTAACTGACATTTTCAACGAATCGTTTTCCAAAAGTATTATACCTGAATCATGGAAAAACATCAAGATCGTTCCAGTGCCTAAATCTACAAGTGGACCTAATGTTAAGTTTAGACCCATTTCAATTACCTCACCCTTTTTGAAAGTTATGGAAAGACTTATTTTACTTAATCTTGATCCCTCTTTAAAACCTTTCAACGACCCCAACCAGTTTGCTTATAAACATAGTAGGAGTACGTTAGATGCCGCTGTCGTCCTCCACCATAGCATAGTCTCTAGTTTAGATAAAGGAGCTAAATACGTTCGCTGTGCCTTCCTTGATTACACATCTGCATTTGACTCTGTTCCCAGGTCTCTCTTGCTAAGTAAGCTTGCTGCAACACAGGCTGAAAGCTGGACAAATAAGTGGTTGCATTCCTATTTTTCTGAAAGGAAGCAGTACACCGTCTACAATGGAAAATCCTCCACTACCTCACTTACTTTAGCTGGTGTTCCTCAAGGTGCTGTTCTTTCTCCCTTTCTGTTCTCGTTTTTCTTACATGACTTGCCTCATTCTGATGTAGCCACTTTTGTTAAATATGCCGATGACCTCTCGGTTTCTATGCCTGTCAACTCTCAGTCAGATTGTTCCAAATTAAATAGCTTTCTGTCGGAAATTAGTCAGTGGTCCTCTTCAAACGGACTTAAGCTTAATCCGTCTAAATGTCAGGTAGTCAATTTCACTTTCAGACGTAAATGTGACCTACAGCAACTAGTTAGCTCACATGGCCCCACTCTCATTGACGGCACAGAGGTTGAAAATACATCTTATGTCAAGTACCTTGGGCTGAGTTTTTCCACCGATCTTTCCTGGTCTTCCCACATCTTGCTAGTTACTAGAAAGATGTTTCGCTTAACGTTCTACATTAGGAAATTTAGGCAGTCTGGCATAAACCAGTCTTTACTTTCTCAGTTTGTAAATTCTTGTATTCTACCCATCCTCCTTTACTGCTCCCCATTAGTCTTTCCTGGACTACTTAAGAAAGACTTTGCTTCGCTGAGAAGGGCACTAAAAGCTGTTAGTAGGGCAAGTGGGATATCGTTAAACCAACTGGTGAACACTATTGTAGATAGACATATTATATCATGTAAGAAACTAGCGAATACAATATTGTCGGACCCCAAGCATCCTCTCTATACACATCTATCTCCTTGCATTTCATCTGGAAGAACTAGAAGCAGCTATAGGAGGCTATATGCTAGGACTACCAAATACAAAAAGTCCACAATACCATATCTGGCACAGCTGTTATGTGATGAGAAATCCGTTAGGTATGACACGATAAACTTACTGCGGCACTCTAACAAATAGTCCCATTAGTTTTTGTTTTCCTTTCCTCGTTACTACTACACTGTTGTTCTCATTTACTACCACACATCAACTTTATATTTCAAATCCTGTGTTGCATTGTTTGAAATGAAATACTCTACGTTGTTTTTTTTCTTAATTTCTAATATTTATTTATTTTATTTATTTATAACTTATTTATTTTATTTTTATTTATTTATCTTTGATTTTTAAAAATCTTATATAATTTATGAGGTAATTAGATGCAATATACTGTAATGCACGCTGAAAATTCCATACCTGTACCACAAATACTGTTTGGAATAAAGCTATTATTATTATTATTATTATTATTATTATTAAGTAATCCCCCATCACGCGAAGATATGAAACGATGAAAAGTAGTTTATTGTGAACCAAAACAATAACATATTATATGCAAATCATAGTTAAGAGAAAAACATTGGTTTTCAGGTATTGGTTTTGTAGGGATTTCGTTTGATTGCATGGAGGATTTCATCATGAGCTGACATCAGTTAGAGAACCATTGGAAAACCAGCTGGGAGTACTGGACAGCTGTTTCGTTAATCTAGTTTGCGACTCTTCATCAGTACGCACCCACCACAAGGGAGCTAGAACTCAGGACCTTCTGGTTACAAGGCGAGCTCGTAGACTATTGAGCCATCGGGACCCGATCCAATGGTCCTTGAATTCTAACTTCTACGAATTTACAACATAGCGCAACCTTTTCGCAATGTCTTGGTAGCCAGGGTGCACACACCAGAAAGCTTCATTTTCGTTCTAGTTTACGACTAGTATTCATCAATATGCTCCAACACAATCAAAGATAGAGTACACAACCTTCAGGTTACAAGGAGACACTCATCAGTTGGGTCGGAATACAATGATCCGTGATCAGTGTTCTAACTTATTATTATTATTATTATTATGACGCCCATGATCGCCAAAGTGTTTCCATGACTTTCTCAACAGTTGTATTATGAATATACCGGGTCATGAGGATATCTGAAATCAACTCAGCAATTCTTGCTTCTTGGAGAGGGGGGGATGAATTTTCAATGATAGTATTCATTTGCTGATCGTTTTGTAGGTAGTTTATCAAGTAACTTAATAACTCATACTGACAAACAAAAGAAACGAACACATCTAGGAGGTTACAAAGAATGAATGCGTCTGTGTCACTGAGAACGATTATGAGTCATACTTACAATAGTCTTCTTTAACCATTGATCGTTAGCCTCCTGAAGTCCTCACTCCACCCCCCTCCACCAGAGTCAGCAGTCTACATCCCTCCGTAAGAGATGACTTCAAATCAACAATGACAGACTCCACAGACTGATTTGATCCTCTAACCTAATCCTATGTCCTTGATAAGGAATCAGATGGCTGGGTATGCATAGCTTCAATATGACATACCAACCAAGATATAGCGATTCAACACGATGACACACTGAATAGTGATAGTGCTATATCCACACACACACACACAAACAAACAACTTCCATAGAGATTATGATTCTTGAACAAATGGATTTCGAAACTAATGTGATATGCATTCCTTGAATGCTCCATTATGAGTAAAATTTTGTCCTTGATAAAGTCTCACAGTGTTATACAGTAATGTTTACTGATGACCACGTTTCGAGCCCAATTTATTCCTGATCATAATCATACCAAGGTACTTATTCACACAACTTTCTAACTTCATTTATATAATTCCATTATTTCAATTCATCGCTTGATTTGATTGGTAGTAGTATTTTCCATATTTTAGGTATGAGTGATGAATCATTCCTATTGCACGCGGTGTGTTGGGTGTAGACTCGATGAACAAGGATTCAGTAATCAACTTCTCTCTCCACCTACCTAGAATACGTCTTAGAATTTAAACCTTCTCCCATCCTATGGTGTGGCTGTGTGTTAATGCACGCAGTGCGATTGCTGATTTTTTTTCTAAATTACTCATTTGTCTTTGGAGGGTCATTCATTCCAACCTTAGCTAAATTCTTATGTTCTGACAATCTGACTACTCCCGACCTAGTAAACCTACAAACTCACTCAGGTAGGACAAACTTTGTAGGTTAAAGGACCCTGTTGACCCCCAATTAGACAAAATAATATAACTTACAATATACCCTCCAATGGACTGTGAGTTAAGTCAACTACTTAGGTGAAATTAGTAGAGCCGGGGGTAGTCAGATTGTCTGTCAGAACTTAAGAATTTAGCTAAGGTAAAAATGATTGACCCTGAATAGGAAATATAAGTAATTTAGAAAAAGCTCAGCAATTGCAATGCATGCGCTAACACACAACCACACAATAGAATGGTGGGTGGGAGAGGGTTAAAATTCTAAGACGTATTCTAGGTAGATGGAGAGAGAAGTTGATTACTGAATCCTTGTTCATCGAGTCTACACCCAACACACCGCGTGCAATAGGAATGATTCATCACTCATACCTAAAATATGGAAAATACTACTACCAATCAAATCAAGCGATGAATTGAAATAATGGAATTATATAAACGAAGTTAGAAAGTTGTGTGAATAAGTACCTTGGTATGATTATGATCAGGAATAAATTGGGCTCGTAACGTGGTCATCAGTAAACATTACTGTATAACACTGTGAGACTTTATCAAAACAAAAATTTACCCATAATGGAATTATACTCTACCCCACCACAGTGCACAAGTTTTATTCTTATATCATTCCTTGAAGCCGCAAAATGATCCCAGATCAACCTCTAGTGAAATCGTAAGTACGCACATTACTACACTACCGAATTACGATGATTAGATAAATTACATCACAAAATGACATCAGTTAGAGAAGCATTAAAAACCAGCAGAGGAGTACACACACACACACACACACTGGAGAGACATTTCGTCCTAGCCTGGGACTCTTCAGTAGCAGTGGTAGAAGTAGTAGTAGTGCTATGGACAAAATCTTCAGGTGGCTACAGTGTAAGCAATTATCATCCAAAGGGTTATTGAAGTGCATGAATCTGCTCTGTAACTCATTTCCCCGATGACAGCATGAATACCGACTTCTGAATAGTTCTAAACATGGACGAAACAACTTTTTAGTTCTCAACAATTATAATATATTGATAAAGGAGGTTTATATATATATATATGCAGAAAAAATGCATCAATAGAATGATTTACTGACAAGTATATACTTGCATGTATGTATGAATGTGTAAGTAGACAACATACCTCAACAACTTGCATTGAATTAATCACGCTAAGATCTTCTTTTACAAATTCTGACCAAGCATCTTTGACTTTTGAATCTAAATCTAGGTAGACAAAGACAATGAGAATCGACAAAGGTCAGATGAAGTGTAATGATTATGATAATAATAATAATTTTGATTGGACACTAGTGTTACTAACTAGTGTGTAATGCGTCTAGGCCCTTGCTTCGTATCGACTACCCTCGATCATCTAATATATCAACAATTGAAAGTGTAGCGCATCATTGCACCCCATTCCAATACATATATATATGTATACATACTTCTGTGGAGTGCTGCAAATCTTTATCAGCCTTATTCACCAACTAAAAGTTGGTTGCATTCTTATTTTTCTGATAGAATGCAGTATACTGTATATATAATGGCAAATCTTCTTCTACCTCGCTTACAAAATCTGGTGTTCCACAAGGTGCTGTACTCTCTCCTTTTCTTTTTTCTTTCTTCCTACATGACCTACGTCATTCAAACGAAACTAACTTTGTCAAATATGCAGATGATCTGACTGTATCACTGCCTATCACTTCCGAATCTGACAGCTCCAAACTTAATAGCTTTCTGTTGGATATCAACAAGTGGTCTAAGTCGAATGGTCTTATGTAAAATTCTTCCAAATGTCAGACAGTTAACTTTAATTTCAAGCATCGACGTAACATACATGAACTAGTCAGTTTGCATGATGCTTGTAGCAAAGATGACACTGAAATTGAAACCAAGTCAAGCATTAAATACCTTGGATTAGTTCTTTCCTGTCTGACCTTTCATGGTCATCCCATATCTTATCTATCTCTAAGAAAATGTTTCGTCTTACCTTCTACAATAAGAAGTTAAGACAATCAGGTATCAACCAATGTTTACTTCTGCAGTTTGCAAACTCCTGTATTTTACCTATTGTACCTACTCTATTGCTCTCCATTAATCTTTCCTGGGCTTCTCAAAAAGACTATATCATATTACGAAGAGTATTAAATGCTGTAATGAGTAGGGCTTGTGGTATGCCACTGCGTGAGCTCGCCAATACTACAGTTGAGAGACACATAAATTCCTGTACAAAATCGGCAAAGACCCTCTGCACCCCCTCCCTTTATTTACAAGTATCCCCTTGTATGTCATCAGGTAGGACGAGAAGTCAATATAAAGAAGCTATATGCTCGTACCACTAAGTATAGAAATTCTACAGTACCCTATTTCACCCGTACTTTATGTGATGAAGACTCTGTTAGACGTGAAACACATAAGTTACTATGTAATTAGCACAGTGAATCGACCCTTTCATTGTTCATCTTTCTGTAATTAATTTTATGGTGTCACACTTTCTATCGTTTAGTCATAACTCTGCTATTTCATATTAGTTGGTATTACTATTATTACTGCAATTTTGTACTTTATGCATATTTTTCTCCGTATTGCATACTGTAATTTGCTATGTAGCTGCTATAACAATCGTTTTATTATTATTATGTAATGTGTATTTTTATTCTTTTTTGTCGTTTTTGAGTAAATTAGATGCAATATTGCACTGAATGCTGAAAATTCCTTGCTGTATCATTAGTACTGGTTTTTGAATAAAGCAAATTATTATTATTGTTTGATGTCAACTACCCCCGATCACCTAATATATCAACAATTGAAAGTGTAGCGCATTATGACACCAAGTCAACTAGCATCGTGGCCACATTGCAAACTAAGTCTGTGGTGAGAGCAGGCTGCTAGCCAATTGGTAGACATTAATTTACGTCAATGTCTAGGTCACTAATATTGACCGTGAGAAAATATGAACAAGGCTGATTCAACAACCAATCACGGCAGACTTAAAGTGGGCAAATATGATTCGCAGATAGATGGCTGCTCCACTTTCCGATGAAACCCGAAACAACCAATCAGAAGACTGGGTTTGTCTACTTGAATAAGCTATAATAATTGACATGAAATATGTATAAATACGTGCTGATTTCCATAATAAAACGATCTGTTGCCGGCCCTTGTCTTCTGTTGTTACAAGTCTGCACCACAGAAAGAACTAGACACATTGCACTAGTTAGTTAGTTGCCAGTGTCCAATTCACCGGAGGTGAATCGCGAGCCTGAATAGCCCGGTGATGGTCATGCCTCTGACTGCAAGCAAGCAGCACTGAGTGACGCGGGTTCAAATGTCAGGAGGGATATGAGTTTCCTTCAAGGTAGTTGCAGCAGATACGCCTGTCGCACTGAAAAGTGCCAACTAGCACGGAACGTAGGTCAGGCAAGACTTCCTGTTGTCGATTACCTCCAACCACCACCTAATGTTATCAGCATCAATATTTACTGCATGAGTGGAGATGTTTAGAACATAATTTATTTTGTCCCAGTGGCTCAATGGTCTACGAGCTCACCTTGTAACCAGAAGGTCCTGGGTTCGAAACCCGGTGGGTGCGTACTGCCGAGGAGTCCCAAACTAGGACGAAACAGCTGTCCAGTACTCCTAGGTTTGTGCGTCGGTGGCACAGCGGTTAAGACGCTCGCCGACCATGCACATGGTCCGGGGTTCGAGCCCCCGCTGGCGCACACCTTTACCTCGCTAAGCCAGTAGTGAGACTGGTAAGGAGGAAAGGTTGGGCATGGGGCTAGCAACCCCATCCTGTAAAAAAAAAATTAAACACTGCTACGGAATCTTCAAGCCTATAGCTTGGAGCCCTATGTTCCACTGGGAACGTGAAGGAAAACAAAAGATAATCATTATCAATCATCAACTGGGTAATTATTCAACTTCGAGAATTCAGTTTTATAATTCTCCTCTTTCCTTCCCCATTGGTCGGTCGGGTAGAGGTAGTAGAATTTTCCACACATCCATGTGGACAAGTGTTGAATCGCTCCTGTCGTAGAGATTTTTAGTTTGATTGGTTAGAGGATTTCATCACCATGAGCTGACATCGTCGGTTAGAGAACCATTGGAAAACCAGCCACAGGGAGTATTGGACAACTGTTTCGCCAACAACCTAGTTTCTGACAGCTAAACAGGATTTAGGAATTCTTCGGTGGCGGGAAATCGGATCCCTGAACCACTGGACGTAGGGACCACTATGTTCGCCTAAATAGAGTGGATCTACTCACTCACTGAAAAGACTAGCAGTCTTTGATCATAGGTGCCTGCGCTCTATTTCCCGTGTAAAGTGGCATAATAAGGTGAGCAACATTGAGGTTAGGCATCGGTCGAGTTCTAGGTAAACAGGGGAAATCAATCGACAAAGTCGTGAAGTGACAAAGACTGAGATGGTTAGGACATGTGTTACGTATGCATGCCAAGCCATCGCCTCCCCCAACCGAAGAGCAATGTTAGCGGATATAGGGTCAGGCTGGAAAAAAAAGCTAGCGGCGGTCAAACAAAAACTTGGCTTCACCAGTCAATGAAATCCACAACAGTTGGTCTAAGCCAGTCACGTAGGAAGGTGTAGACTTCCTGACTGACTGGTTGGGGTCCTCGGGACGGTAAAAATCAATGGTTGGAAACAATTGGTGACATGGCTAGCTCAAAATCGTTGTCAATGGCTAACGCAGATGCATCCACTCCTTGTGACTTATGATCTCCAATGAAACTGTTTTGTTCTTCGTTACTACTATTCCTTTGTCTCACACCTCTGCTCACTGTTTCTATTATGCTTTTCTTGTACTTTCTTCTCTTGCTTCGCGTGCTACACGGAGTGTGGCGACTTGAACTGGCGCACATTTGTGCAAAGTTCTATGTCGAAAACAGACAGACAGACTCACTCACTCACTCACACACAGACACAAACAAAAAAAACAAAGAATGAGAAGAACTGTCCAACTTTTACTACAAACACATAAACAAAAGACAAAAAAAACAGGCATACCTTCAAAGATGCTTTTTACAAATTCTCCTCTTGAACCATTATTACTATTATTCATAGCTGAATCAATCAGATTGGCTATCTGCCAGATATGTCCAGCATAACCAGGTTTGGGCTTAGCTTTAGATAATCGAACTAAAGAAGAATTCGGTGAATAAGGAACATCCGGTCTAGATTTCAATGACAAAAAAAAGGAAAGGAAAAAAACACATGCAGGAGATAAGAATCAGTATAAAAGGATTGAATGACAGCTATTTCGTCCTGATTTGGGATTCCTCAACCACTATGCACCTACTGTGCCAAGGGTTCGAAACCAAGACACCATCTGGTTACAAAGTGAAGCCATTGACAACCAATCAAATGATTGACAAACAGTAGGCCCCACCAGGTTGGCAATGAAGACAAAGACTCATCCCCATGCATTGGCTGATGGGATTCATGGGCTGGCCATTGAAACGAAGGCCATTTGGTTGAATAGCCTGCAGGCTTTCCCCGTTCGAACCCCGGTGGAAACGTCCCGTTGAGGAGTCCCAAACTGGGATGAAACAGCCATTTGGCGCTGTACTACTGGTTTTCACTGGGTCTCTAACTGATTTATTAATCCATGCTTACAAACACACCTTTGAATGATATAACAAAAGTGAATTGATACTTAAAAATATGCATGGAATCACACACACACACAACGTTTTTATGATGAGTAGGGATAAAATTGCCAAGATTGGTGTTGTAATCACTCATATTGACTTTGATGAACTGCTTCATTTAACAGAATTCGACAATGACACAAACATGACAAACACACACTTGTTCTGACAGATGGCTATATATCATGACGTAATTGCTAGAACGAAGGTATTCCTACAGGTATGCAAATGAAACTAATCCTTGTAGTTGAAGACGCTGATTTGAAAAAAAAATGCAAAGTCTTCTGAACACCATTTGACTAGAATATCTTTGAATGTTAAACATGCAGGTCAGTCCCATTGTAACATGTAAGAGATTATGAGGCTTCAGAACTGGCCTGCATTGACTCATAGTTCAAAAATAAGGAGTGAAGTAGTAGAGCATGTTGACCACATTCACTTATTTGAGAAGTTGCATCAACCCTAACGGACTGCTGACTAACTGATGATGGAATCTCATCGCGGATACAAAAGGCTCGTGATATCCGGATTTCCATCAAACAATGTGTGTACTAGATATTATAGAGAAGATTTGTAGCTCAGGTGGATGATTTTGATGTGGTTTTGTTCTCTGAGCTGGATGGTTAGTTTGCGAAGCTTTCATCACCTTACTGGGTGACATCTTCAGCGCATACTTCCATTTGAAGTGAGCTTTTAGATTTCTCCACGAGTTTATAATCATCTCTCCTGGTGACCTTGGACGTGATAGACACATCGACATAGACAAAATTTATCAACCAATAAGAAAGAAACTTCACAGACAAAGGGTCAAAATTCAAGTCAAAGAAACAACCGGTTCCAATACAAGTAACCTAGAAGGTGTGAAAACACACACAAACAACCAATCACGTCCAAGGTCACCAGGAGAGATGATTAATAAACTCGTGGAGAAATCTAAAAGCTCACTTCAAATTGAAGTATGCGCTGAAGATGTCACCTAGTAGGGTGATGAAAGCTTCGCAAACTAACCATCCAGCTAGCTCAGAGAACAAAACCACATCAAAATGTGTGTACTGCACAGCACTCGTTCTCTCTGTCCTCCTTTATGTTTCTGAGACATCGGCGTTGAAAGTCGACGACTTGGAAAGACTAGTTTGCTTTGACCTAAGGTGTTTGCATCCCATCTCTTATGTTAAGTAGTATAATGTGGTGAATAACACCGAGTTTAGACGTCGAGTGTTGGTTAGGTTAGGAGGGTAAGCTAATTGGTGAGATGGTGAAGCAGGTGCATCGATTGAGATAGCAGGGAAACAGGTTACGCATGCCTAGCCTAGCTAGCACCTTCCTCGATAACAGGCAATGTGAACTTACTGACATTAGGATGAATCAGGTTGGAAAAGACCTAGCTAGTGGTGGTCAAACCAAAACACGACTTTATCAGTCAATGAAATACATAACAGTTAGTGTAAGCCAGCCGCCAGCCAGCCATGTAGGGAGGTGTAGACTGGCTAATTAGTTGGAGTCCTCTGGATTCTAAGAATCAATGCCTGTAGAGTGTTGGAGATAATGGCAACTTGAGTTGCTGCAATTCTGTACAAGGTTCTATGTTGAACCCAGTCAGTCAGTCAGTCAGTCAGATAACCTCTCAAGTCGCCAAGTTGGATATTCAATTATGGCGTAGACGTGATATCCGGCTATCCACCAAAGGACGTGTGTACTGCTCAGCAGTCCTCTCTGTCCTCTTTTATGACTGGCTGTGCTGTGAGATCTACCCTTTGAGAGTGGAAGACGTGAAAAACCCGGACAGTTGTCTTTCATCATAGGTATCTGAGTTGTATCTACGTCCCGTGTTAGGTGGTATAATACGGTGAGCAATATTTGTAACAACAGAAGACAAGGGCTAGGCAACAGATCGTTTTTTAAAGAAATCAAGACACATATTTATAGATTTTCATGTACATATTATAAATTATTGTTAGCAGAAAAACATTATGTGTACTTATCAATTTACTTGCTCATGTGAAGCGAGATATATGGGCTGTTCGGCGGGTTAGAATCTAAGAAGGCACATGAGTTGTTCCTTCTTCAAGGTAGTTGCAGATACACCTTGCTGACTGACTGACTGACTGACTGACTGACTGACTGACTGACTGACTGACTGACTGATTGACTGACTGACTGACTGACTGACTGACTGACTGGTGAGTGCCAACTAGCGCAAAACCTAGGTCAGGCAAGGCTTCCTGTGGCCGATTGCCTCCAACTAACTAATATCATCAAATCAATGTGCAAGCTACCTAGAATGGTGGTCACATTGCAAACCTGACTGACTGACTGACTGACAGATAGAATTCAGTCTGCACCAACCAAACAAAGGACTAGACACATCACACTAGTTACTGGCTAGTGTCCAATCAAACTGATCATTCCATATATGGGCAGTGCAATGCGTGGGTTTTATTTAAACGAGTCAAAGAACATTATCCCGTTTGGCTGAGAAAAAAGTAATAGTGGATCAATAAAGAGTGCTATAATTGAACATATACAATCAACACTGGTCACTACTCAATATGTGTAGTGACAATTCATTCAAAGTCATTTCTACAAAGTCAAAAGAAGTCACCCGTTGTAAACGGTAAACTTCTGTATACTTTGCATTGCCGAGGACACCTTGACGATCCGGATAGAAAACCCTGATTTATGTACACAGTAAAAACTTCTCCACCCTCTCCTTCTATTATTACTATTATTATTTCCTTTAATTCCTAGAGGAACATAGGGCTTCAACCGCCTAAGTCTCCATTGCGTTAGGTTCTCTGCTAGAGTTTTCACCTGGCTCGAAGTATGCCACCAACACGCTTTCATCTCCTCTTCACATGACCTCCTTCAAGTCACCCTTGCAGTGACGACCAACTCGCCGCTTCCCTTTCGGGTTACACTCGAGCTATGGCCTGTTTAGTGATGTCACTTGCTGGTTTCTTCAGTGAATGGCCAATCCATCTCCATTTCTTCCTGCCTATTTGTTTCACAATCGGTTCCTGCCTGGTTGGTTCGCTCATTGCCAGAGATCCGTGTTTCTGATCTTTTCTGACCGGACATCTGATCATGAATAGTATTGAGCGAAGGCAGCTGTCAATGAAGGTCCGTAATTTGTTTGAGGTGCTCTTTATGACGCGCTGGCCAAGTCTCTGATCTGTATAGTAGCACTGAATTCCCATTGGAGTTGAAAATCCGGATCTTATTTTTCACGTTGAGTGGGCTGTTGACCTTCACACAGACTTGAGAGTAATGAAAGCTTGTCTTGCTTTTCGGATTCTGGCTTTGATATTCTCATCAGTTCTGTCCGCCTATCAAAACCAACCACACACTGTGAATACGTACATGTGTATTGTGATTTATTGGTCTAAACACTCGGTTTTCTAATGGTTCTCTCTAAATGATACCAGCGCGTGATCAATCAATCCTGTGACCAATTAAATCCCTGTAACACCGAAACTCGATAGTTATTTTCTGCTACTCAATTAGCGACTGACTCTAGGCATTAAGTTACTTGGCGTTTTAAAGAGAAGTAGTGTGACACTAGAGGGATCCACTAAGTCAGCGCCAAGAGGACAATTAGTCAAAGGCGACTTTACCTGGTGGTTGGAGCTATGTCCCTCTGGATTCAACATAGAACTTGCCACCGAAGTGCACCAGTTCGATTTCCCAACTTCTAAATACCAAACTAAGGTAGACAAGAAGATGAGTGAAGAGAATCAATAGAGTTTCACAGGTATAAGAGCCAAACAGAATGAGTAATGGTAGAAAGGAATATGAAAGATTACAGAGACTGAATACATCTGAGCTGGCCATTGGCAACGACTTTGAGCCATGTCACCTATTGTCTCCAGCCATTGATTGATTCCTAGAGTCAGTCCCAAGGGCCCCAACCCGAAAGTCTTCATTTCCCTACCTGACTCAGTTTAACTGTCAAGGATTTGTTTCATGGATTGATGAGGCCATGTTTTTGTTTGGCCACCACTTACTCTTTTCCAACCTGCACCACCTATATCAGCTAGTAATGCCCGTCAAGTGGGGGAGGCGATGGTTAGGCATGCGCACCACGTTAACTAGCCATCTCAATCTATGTAACTTGATAGTCTCGTCGATTGATTTTCCCTCTTTGCCCAACACTCTACACCTCCTAACGTCAACATTACTTACCTTATTAATTAAACCACCTAACGTGAGAAAGAGATCGTAGACATCTATGATCGAAAGCAGTCAACCTTTTCATGTCTTCAACGCGTATTGGCCATGTTTCAGAGCCATAGACAAGGGCGGAGCGAACTGATGAGCAGTACACACGTCCCTTGGTTGATAGCCGGATGTCACGCCTACGCCAGAGATGGTGAAAGTCAGCTGGAGCAGCAGTCCGAGCTTTTTGGATCCGTGGTGAGATTTCGTCGCCAATCAGTCCGTTGGCGCTGGCTGATACAACTTCCCAAATAGGTGAAGTGGTCAACATGTTCTATCACTTCACTCCCTATCACTAAGCTAGGCAGGAGTTGACGTAGTCCAGTCCTGTAGCAGCATCTTACATTTTGTAGGGGCGAATCGCACGCCAAACATACGAAGATTGCTGCTGAAGGTGTTCAGAAGACTCTGCATTTTGTCATCATCCTCCTCTAACAGGACTATGCCATCTGCATACTCTAAGTCCATAAGACTATTCCCTGGTAACAAGTCGATTCCTAAGTCATTACGTTCAGTTAAGGATACTTCCATCAGCATATCTATGATGAAGATAAGCAGAAATGTGGAAAGTGGACATCCCTGTTGGACACCACTGGTTGTTGCCAATTCAGATGACAATTCCCCATAAGCCCTTACACGACTACGTGAGTTTGAATAGAGTGCCTTGATTAGTGCAATGTACTTCCTTGGCACTCCATTCACAGTCAGACATTGCCATAGTACCTTTCGATCCACGGAGTCAAAGGCCGCCTTCAAGTCAAGAAATATGGCAATTGTTGGACGCCGAAAAGTGTGTCTATGTTCTAGAATCTGGTGGAGAGTGAAGATATGATCTATGATCTATGCACCCTCTACCTGGTCTAAAGCCTGCTTAATTTCCCCTCGTTTGTTCCTCCCGAGTTCTGCATAGTCTATGCATGATTACTGAGCCTAGGATTTTAGAGACTATGTTCGTTAGGCTGATCCCCCTATGATTATCACACGAGGACCTGTTTCCCTTCTTGAATATCGTTTTGTTCTTATATTCATATCTGGATGAGTATTTTCCGTGAATTAAATGAAAAAAACTAAGCAGGTGAAAATTTATGAACACTCGTCATTCGTGGAGTGAGTTAAAAGTGACGACAGAATAGAGAAGTGAGTTGCAACGGAGATGTGTACCGCGCGATGAACACCGATGTTCCACCCCACCACCCTCCAGGAAAGAAAATAACCAATAATCGAAAATATCAATAATACACTTTACGAGTCTGAATACACCAAGAGAAATAAAAGATTAATCTTACCGATCATTTTTACCCGGCAACGGAGATAATCGTAAACACCAATCAATCAAATGATGATCTTTTATAAGATTAATTAATATACTATTAAATTCATCGAAATGAGTAGTATTCATCACAACAGTAGCAGCAGTAACTTTGGCAGTATCTGTTGAACTGTCAGCAGCAGTGATTGTGACACCACTATCAACAGATGATGAAGAAGAGGATAGATCGGGAGTGGTGGATGATGGGGATTGATTGTCATCAATTTGATTGGTTTTTTTTGATGTAGAGAAATTTGGATTAAATGTATCATTGGCATTTCCATTACCTCCACTAGTACTAGTGGTAGTCGTTGTCGGCGTCTTCATTGTGTTTGTTATACCTGAATGCTTGAACAAGGAGGTTAACACATCGACAACACTATGATGTAGAAAGGTATTCGATGGATATTGTTCAAATAACTCCTGTAATGGGTTAGGGAAAACAAAAACATCACAATATAGTATAGTACATACACAAGAGTGCACACACATACTCACAAAGCATCAACGACAAATAAATATTAAAAAGTAATATAGTGGTTAGGTGGAGAGAGATATTACCACTGAAGCTTTGTTTATCTATTCAACACAGTACACGTGCAATCGGAATGACGCCACACGTATACCGTAGATATAGAAAGTGGCAATAAACAACAAGGGGAAAATGGAGGGACAGAGAGAGAGAGAGGAGACATATATAAAACAAATTGGATCGGGTCCCAGTGACTCAATAGTATACGAGCTCGCTAGCCTTGTAACCCGAAGGACCTGGGTTCGAACCCCTGTGGGTCCGTACTGCTGAAGAGTCCCAAACTAGGGCGAAATAGCTGTCCAGTACTCCCAGGTTTTCCAGTGGTTCTCTAACTGATGTCAACTCATGATGAAATCCTCCATGCAATCAAATTGTGAAACCATGTAACTAAAATTGATATGATTATGAGTGGCAATAATTAGTGCTGGAAACAGTGTCATCCAGTTGTTAATACTGAATCATCACTGTGTGATAATTTAAATAAACTTATCTAATCTGGAATTATATATTACAATAGTGCCCAAGTTTTACACATACATCATATGAAGAAATGCAAAACAGCGACGGTAAACAGAGATATGAGGCTAAAAAAATAGTAATATCGAAGAACAATAGGGTTTTTATTGGATATTATTATATCATTAAGAGTGGATGCATCTGCACCAACCATTGAGAACGATTTTGAGCCATATCAACGATTGTCTCCAGCATTCATTGGTGTTTACCGTCCCTGCCCCCCCCAAACAGTCAGGAACTCTACACCTCCCTATGTGACTGGCTGGGTTAAACTAACTGTTGTGGATTTCATTGACTAGTGCCATGTTTTGGTATGACCACCACACTAGGTAGCTCTTTTCCAGCCTGACCCTATGTCAGCTAACATTACACATCGGTTGAGGAAGGCGATGGCTAGGCTAGCCATACATAACACACGTCCCAAACATCTCAGTCGACGTAGCTTCACAACCTTGCCGATTGACTTCCCCTCCTTACTTAGCGCTTGACGCCGGCTGTGAGATCTCGCCATTAAGAGTGGAAGACATGGCAAAGCCGGTTAGCTGTCTTTCACCACAGGTGTCTGCGTTCTATCTAATCTACATTCCGTGTTAGTTGGTATAACAGTTAGTTTAAGCCAAGTAGGAAGATGCACACTTCTTGGTTAATGTCCTCGGTACGGTAAAAACCAATGGCTGGAAATCATTCTCGATGACTGGTGGAGATGCATTCACTCTTTCTGAGCTATAATACCCAATAAAACTATATTGTTCTTCGTTATTACTATTCCTTTTGTCTCATGTCCCTGTCTACTGTCTCTATTTTGCATTTCTTTTTACTTTCTTCTCTTGCTTTGTGTGCTACATGGAGGGAATGTGGCGACTCGAACTGCTGCTGCTGCCGCACATCGGTGCAAAGTAGTTCTACGTTGAAACCCGTCAGTCAGTCTTCAAGAGAATGAATAGTTTTGGACCATAAAACTGTGTGAAAAGGAAAAATTCGATTGAAAATAAAAAAAGAGAAATGGATTTGAATGGATTAGTAATCATAACTCTTCACAATTTAGGGCAAAACAATCTCATATGGAAATCCCCTCAAAACTAAACCTAAACTGTAAAGGATAAAATTAGCAATTAAGATAAATATCATCGATACTGTAAAATATAAAAGGGGGACCATCGGAAGTTATTCTGGTAAGTGCTACTTATAATCAGATATAAGTAATAGATCAGTAAACGAATTCAGAAGAAGCAACAAAATGTTTCGGAGCAATCAAAAGAACGTTACAAACACTGTGCAGAATCCTGCAAGCTATCGAATATGATGATAATCAACCAATTTGCAAATGATGTGCATAGAAAGAGCCTGGATTCCACACACTGCTAGTCACCAGTCATCGAATAACTTCTAATCACTTGCCCAGACATTGTCGAAGCGTCTGCACAAGAAACCGACATGTCAGCCTGAGACTGAGGAGCACTTCGGTTCAAACAAACAATCGATGGGAAAATCAAAAATTCAACCATATAATTAATATGACCTGTTGCACAAGATGTGGCCAGCTCTCGTGGTACAAATGATCTAATGGATAACGCTTTGGCGTTTGAAACTATGGGCAATGGGTTCGAATCATCACTCACTACGGAATGCAGGTACATCCAACAGTGACAAGTCCCAAATGGGACGAAATGCGCGTTATCCTGGATTCCACACTGATAGTCGCCATCCACTAATTAACACCTAAATGTAGATATGGTATAGCAAATTTATATACATACAATGAGTTCATCCTAATAAACATTGCCCTCGAAACTCATCGGTTTCGAACCAATGTCAGCTCATGATGAAATCCAGTAACCATCAATCAAATCCCTACAAACAAATACTTAAAATATCCATGAGATGCTCACTGGTGACTGGCCCTATTCAGGTAAGCAGTTAGTTACCTGATGTTCTAATGGGAAGTCGAGACCAGTAGGGTGCAGCAGGTCGGATTTGAGGACAAATACTCGTCACCGATGACACTGGCTAGCGCGGTCGCGCTATGCTATGTCGTGAATTAGCAGAAGTTAGAGTTCATGGGTCACTGAATCGGGTCCCAGTGGCTTAATGGTATACGAGCTCGCTAGCCTTGTAACCGGAAGGTCCTGGGTTCGAATTCCGGTGGGTGCGTACTGATGAAGAGTCCCAAACTAGGACGAAACAGCTGTCCAGTACTCCCAGGTTTTCCAATGGTTCTCTAACAACTGTCAGCTCATGATGAAATCCTGAAAATTACATAAGTTTAAATTTAAGGTTCAATGGGAAAAACCTGTCAACCATCCATGTACGTGGTCCGAGTTCGATTCCCGACCAACGTGCTCACTTTGTCAACTTGTAGATAGTAAACCTGGAGAAGAAGAAGGGGTTGTGCGTGAGCCTAGTAACTCTACACCACAAAAACAATACCGCGTGTTTGAAAATACGTATACACAGAACTCACCATTAATGTTTTGACAAAACCATTCGCAACAATTGCTTTAATTAATTGTAAATTCATCGGTAAAGAGGTGAGTGCAGCAATCAACTGGACAACAGCTAAACGACAACGACCAAGTGGTGGATTTAAGATACCATTTGTTGTTGACACAGTATTATAGAATTGCTAAAATAAAGAGAGGAAAGAAAAGAAACAAGATTGAAAAAAGGTAATTACAAAACCTGATCTGATCATATACATACATATATATGATCAGATGTGACTCCTCGCCTTAAGAACTTGCCTTTCAAAGGTTGGAATACCTCTCGTCTGATTTCAGTGCGGAGGTAACCAACTAGGTAGTTCTCTCTCGCTCTCATACACACACACACGCACAATATGTACGACTTTCGCCTACTTACGACCTGATAACCGACTATCGATCAAAGGAAGTGTGTACTGACCTTCTCTTAGCAATATCTATAGATAGATGGCTAGAACAAGTTTAGGGCATGCCAAGCCATTGCCTTCCCTCACAAGCAATGTTAGCTGACATTGAGATTAGATTAGAAAACATCTAGAAGTGGCCAAATTAAACACCTGTCATCAATCCTTCAAGAGTTTGACTGTTAGAGTTTAGAGCCTAACACGTAGACAGCTGTGTAGACTCTGCCCAAACTGATAGATGTCTGATATGTATCCACATGATGTGTGTGCGTTTTGGTTTTGACAGTCTGTTATATTTTGCTATGTGTATATGGATCGATATTCCATTATCACTGACATTATGCCTTCGTCTGTCCACTAACTAAATAAACAATGTGTGACCTTATTATCAAATGACATTACAACCAATCATGGTAAGACGTTATCTTATTGGTTCATGTGTATTAGCCTCTTTCATTGATACTTTGCATTGTAAACTTTATCATTCTTCTTGTTCTCACGTTCGTACATTGCGTACCATTTCACTCACTCACACACTCTTGTGTGACGTTTATTTTCCTTGTCTGGAAAATACAGGTATCATCGTGAACCTGGTGGTCTTCTGATTTCCTCCCTTTCCGCGTCAGGACTATTAACTACTCGACGAGTACACAACAATGTCCTCCAAAATACTAAGAACCAACAACTAGAGACTGTTTAGTGACTTGATGAAAAATCGACTTCAGTGACATGATTACTCAACAAGCAAACACATCCACGACTTCAGTGAAGAAAAAGACTAACATCGACATGAAATAGGGTTACATGAGATAAAGACCTAGGAATTCTTAACTTTCGTCAATTCACGCGTGATGAATGTCATCCTATATGACTCCTTTCAACCTTAAATACATGAATTCTTTATCTATTTGGTGGGATTGTCATATAAGCTTTTTTGATTTCTTTTTATTACAGCTTGATCCACACTGTATTTTTGGTACAAGTATGGGATTTTCAGCATTTGCGATATCATCGGTAGCCCAATTTGACAGGCCGACCATTGATATCGGTTGTGCGTCGGCAGGGGATCGAAACCCGGACCATATGCATGGTCGGTGAGAGTCCTAACCGCTGTGCCACCAACGTACAGTTAAAACACAAACTTGGCACCAAAAAGAGGTGTCCAAATAATTGTTGCTTCATAGTTTGTGCGAGAGCTGAGATACTTCTCAGACACCCAGATCAAAGCAAGCGGTTATCACCTCTACACTCTCTGGAGCCTCTGATTACAAGGCAAAGCTGAAGCGGAACAGCGTCAGGAGGGTGTTGCATTCTTTCCATGGTTTCCAGTGACTGAACCAGGTGTATACACATCATTTGATGCTCCACTGGGATTCTGGAGCCTATGTACACATACATCATATGTTTGGAACCAGGGTTTTCAAACTGCAGTTCCCAGCATGTCCACTAGTCCGGTTGTAGGTGCCAGACGTTCGGGTTTGGCACTTTCGCTTTTATAGGGAACACACCCCTGATGCATGAAAGTGGTGAATAAGACTTACGTGACATAGGGTATGCGGACGCGTACCTATCTGACAGCATTTCGATGGAGAAAGGAAGACGGAAATCCACCGAGCAACGGCTTTATGCGAGTGGATAAGAACTACTGAAGAGTTCAAAAGGCAGACCAAAAGAACTGTCTAAATGCATCAAGTCAAGTATTCCTACTCGATCGATTGATATAATTAGTTGAATACAACTCATATCAGTAATCAATGGTGCTTGCCGGGCAGTTACTCAGGTGGCTTGAACTGGACTCATCTCCGTCTCAACGCTGAGTCAAACCAAGTATATCGCCAGTGACATCACACACACACACACACACCCCAAACAATAGAAACAGCCGTCCAAACACACATTGGGTGTATTCTAAATTCCTTTTGACTTTCATGACATACACTTGCTTGTTTCAAAATTTTCCATGAAATGACATATTTTTTGTGTAAAACCATATACTACTGAATAATTGAGACTAGTAGTTGCACACCGCACATCACCTATCCACCATCCAGTAGAGTAATTTCTGGTCGTCAGCCAGATCGAAGTAAGTGATCTAACCCACCTCCCTTTGGCGGTTGGTTCACTTGTTTAAGGACGAGCTCATCAAAGGCAATGTACATAATTCGACTCATCTCATGGAGTCGAATCAATTCAAACTACTCAATTTCTGGCTGGCTGGCTGGCTGGTTATTTGGGCGAACTGGTCATAATATCACAAAAAGTCAAAGTTAAAATTTCCTATAGTTTGGTTTGTAAATGTTAGTTTTGTTTTTACGAGTAGATCACGTATTGATATCGGTTAGAAAACCACTGAAGGCTGTACTACAACGGCACCTGCCAAGTGATCCACAACGGAAGACTCAGCGAGGCGTTTGGAGTAAACACAGGAGTCAGACAAGGGTGCTTACTATCACCAATGATATTCCTAATTGTGGTGGACTGACTGGATTATGCGTCAGACTGTGGGAAACGAGAAGACAGGAATATCCTGGACCGATGTGGAGAACCTAGAAGACCTGGATTTCGCGGATGACTTATGTTTGATGTCACACAAAATCGAAGACTTACAAGCGAAAACCGACAAACTGGTCGAAGAAGCGGCCGGCGACGACAGGACTCCAGGTAAACATAGACAAGACGGAGGTTATGAAAATAACCAACCAACAACAGCAACAACATCCAACGTCAATCACCATCAACGGGAGGAATTTGAAAGAGGTTACTTCATTCACTTATCTAGGGAGGGAGCATTGTCTCAACTACAGGAAGTCGGAACAGACGAGGATGTCAAATCGAATGAGAATCGGAAAGGCGAGAAACACATTCATCAGCCTGAAATCAATCTGGAAATCTTCGTCACTCAGCCAGCATCAACAACAAAATTCCGCCGGATTTTCAATACAAACAACGTCAAGTCAGTCAGTTCTTCTATACGGATCAGAAACTTGGCAGGCGGGTCACAAAGAATATTTCCAACAGCCTGTTGCAGACCTTTATTAACAACTGTCTTCGCTCAATACTGAAGATCAGATGGCCGGAAAGAATCACCAACAAGGAATTATGGGAACAAACAAAGCAAGAACCAATCGCCCAACAAATATGCAGGAGAAAGTGGAGATGGATCGGACACTCGCTGAGGAGACCGCTGGGTGACATCGCGCGCCAAGCCCTCGAGTGGCACCCGAAAAGGAAGCGGCGAGTGGGACGTCGGTGCAAGAGTGACATGGAGGAGATCGTGTACAGAGAAGTTGAAAGAATATGGATTAACATGGATGCAGGCGAAAAGTATAGCAGAAGACAGAAGAAAATGGAGACGTGCAGTTGAAGCCCTATGTTCCACTAGGAACCCAAGGGAGCAATAATAAATAAGAGAACCACTGAAAACCAGCACTGGAGTACTGCAGCATAGCTGTTTCATCCTAGTTTGGGAATTATCGGCACTGCTCACCCACCACCACAGGGGTTTGAATCCAGGACCTCTTGGTTACAAGTCAAGCTGGCTCGTATACCACTCAGCCACTGGGACTCGATTCAATGTCCAGCCCATGAATTCTACCAATTTGTGATTTAGCGCGTCGGTGGGACATCCATTCACACAAACTAAGATAAAACAGCTCTCCAGTACTCCAGTGATGGTTTTCAATGCTTCTCTAACTTATATCAATCCGTGATCAACTCGTAATAAACACAACTAACCCTTACAAACCAAACTATAGAAAATTAATCTGATGCTCGCTAGTTACTGACTTGCTACAGGATGGAGTTCCCTGGAGTAAGTTCTAGTGAGAAGTTGTGACCAATGACGTCCATCCAGATGTCATGTGTGAGGATGGATGTCCAGCCTACGACAATGGTTGGGATTGCGCTAAATCACGAATTGGTAGAAGTTAGAATTCGCCGGCTGGCCACTGAATCGGGTCCCAGTAGCTGAATGGTAATACCAGCCAGCTTGCCTTGTAACCAAGAGGTCCTGGATTCAAACCCCTGTGGTGGTGGGTGAGCAGTGCCGATAATTCCCAAACTAGGATGAAACAGCAGCTGCCCAGTACTCCCTGGTTGCTTTTCAATAGTTCTCTAACTGATATCAATCCGTGATCAACTCGTAAAAATTCAAAATTTCTGATATTGAATACTCTTCGAAGGGTGGATGGGGGGGGGAGGAATCTCCACAACAGTCTTCTCTAAAAAAAACACCAAGCACACTGATGACGAACTCCCCTCCCCCAAACGAGCGAAACAACCGTTGGTTGTCTAGATGACTTCCTCGGATATGGCCGCCCCTCACTAGCAGTCCCTCACCTCAACCAATCAGTGGCATATAATTATACTCTGATATACATTTATGACTGGTTTCCTGATCACCGTTTATGGTGTGTCAAACAGATCGTATATGGAGTGTGATCTAAATCATCATTTCACAGTTTTGCAAAGGAAACAGTAGCGAAGATTTCACCACCACCAGCCCCCCCCCCGCTTTTCGAATTGCATACAACACTTCGTGAGGGAGAAGGAGGAAGCGGCAGCGGAAGGCGGAACAACTTACCGGATGAAATGTTTTCAATAATTTATGCAATTCACTCAAGCAAGATAAGCATGCTTTAGATAAATTTTCACAAGCTTTTGATATATGCTGTTTATCTATAGGTAATGAGTTCATATCATGCACTGACTGTTGTTGTTGTTGTTGCTGCTGTCGGTTATTGATTGATGAAGTATCACAGTCATTGGAGGATTTATTGCCACCACCACCAACAGCATCATCACCATTTGTCATCAATAACGCTGAGTCATTTGAAGTGTTATTTATTGTTTTATTATTGGTACAGCTTATATCATTCTTAGGGCCTGGTATCCCATAACCAATTAATGACCCGGTTTCAGTACTCTCACCGGCACCACCTCCAACAGGAAAACCAGACTCACTAAAAAAAAAAAGAAAACACAAAAGGGGAGGAAAGTTTTTATTCTCTTACGAAAACCGGATGAAAAACAAACAACAGGATTTCATCATGAGCTGACACATATGGAAAGCCAACAGGGAGCGTACTGGACAGTTGACTGACTGTCTCGTTCTAGTTTGAGACTCCACCTGGGGGGGTCGAACCCAGAAGCTTCTGGTTACAAGGCGAGCTAGCTCGTAGATCATAAAGCAGCCCCACTGGGATCCGATCCAATACCTAGTCAGCCCATGAATTCCTTACTTACTTTACTTTACTTCGGCTATCTCCTACGGGAGGATGAGCCGGCTTCATGAACCATGAAGTTTCATGGGAATTAGGTATGAGTGATGTCCCCAGAATAGCTCGGCCTTTTGTTTGAGAGTGCAGCTCTAGCCTTTACACAACCAAGTGTGACCTACAAGGCAGTAGGAGTGGAGTAAGGAGTCCACTATCCATTGGAAGCCAGCCGGTGACCGGAGTCCGGTTCATTCGCCTTTTTGAATGGGGCCAGTCATCCAGGGCATCCAATAAGCCCTTTGTCCATACGTGTGCCGGTGAACTCCGGTAAGCTTCATACGCCAGTCGTTGGAGGTTTGGAATCAGGGTTTAGCCATCTCCCCTAGACTGTCATCCAATGGACAGCCAACCCGGTGAAGAGTGCCGGGCATCCGCTTTTGCCCTCTCACTTCGGTGAAAAACACCTCCGCCACGTGAAGGCAGTGAGTAGGACTTCCTCAGGAGAGGCTATGTAAGACGCCCGGTCATATGAGAGCATTTCAAGAGGTGTACGGAGGGTTGACCAAACCGCAGCGCAAGACACCCACCCCCGACCATCCTGAGGCTTTGGAGGCCAACCTCCACCAATTCACGATATAGTGTGACCACTAGCCAGCGTCATCACTGGTGAGTATTTGTCCTCACACTCAACATCATGTACCCCACTGGTAACGACTTTTCACTAAAACAACCTACCTGAATAGCGCCAGTCGCCAGTGAGCATCTCACTGATATTCAAGTGTAAGTTTGTGGAGATTTGATTGGCTGCAGGATTTCATCTTGAGGTGACATCGGTTAGAGAACCATTGGATTGCTCTTCATCACTACGCACCCACACCACCAAGGTTAGAACCCAGGACCTTCCTGTTACAAGACAGGAGACCTAATAGACCATTAAGCCACTGGGACCCGATTCAATGGTCCACGAAAAACCGAAACATTTTTTTCTCTCATAAAAGTGCTCATTTGTGGAGCAAATGGTTCATACAGAAAGAAAGAAAGATAACGCGGGTGGCGGTGTACCAACAAACTTTACATCACCTCATCACGATTGTCTATCCTTCGCTTGTGTTACCATAGCACACTCTACGCCTGACGCCAATATTCCTCACATATGGGAAAGACAAACATTCAGTGATCTGATCAAATGAGTGTGGAGAACATCTAGAGCAGTTACACTCACTCAGTGTGTAAGTAACAAGATCCGACGTTTCAATTTTCAAAATGAAGTCATTGCAGACTTGGTGAACCATAAAAAAAAGCGTTTCCAACAGTCTGTTACAGACGTTCGTCAACAGCTACACCCTTCACTTGATGATACTGAAGATACGATGACCAGAAAGGATAATTCCACTATGGGTAAGTTTTGTTTTGATAAAGTCTCACAGTGTTATTATACAGTAATGTCTACTGATGACCACGTTTCGAGCACAATTTATTACTGCTCATAATCATATCAAGGCACTACTCACACGACCTCCTAACTTTATTTATACAGTTCCATTATTTTTCACTTGATTTGATTGGTAGTAGTATTTTCCATATTTCGGGTATGAGTGATGAATCATTCCTATTGTACGCGGCGTGTTGGGTGGAGACTCGATGGACAAGGATTCAGTAATCAACTTCTCTCTCCACCTACCTAGATTACCTTTTAGGATTTCAACCCTCTCCCACCAACCCTATTTTATGGTTGTGTATTAATGCATGCATTGCAATTGCTGAGCTTTTTTCTAAATTACTTATATTTCCTATTCAGGGTCAATCATTCTTACCTTAGCTAAATTCTTATGTTCCGACAATCTGACTATACCTGACCTACTAGTTCCACCTAAGTAGTTGACTTAACTCACAGTCATTGGAGTGTATTTTGTAAGTTATATTATTTTGTCTAATTGGGGGTCAACAGGGTCCTTTAACCTACAAAGCTTGTCCTACCTGAGTGAGTTTGTAGGTTTGAATGCCACCAGCCTAATTCCTGCTTTATTAAGAATCCTACGTAGGAGGGGTTTCAGATGTCCCCTTTTTATATGGTATAACTGTAGATGACTTATATTCTCTCTTATTCATGTTATCATTATTAGTTTCCCCAATACTTTTATTTCTATTTTGACCTTTTTCGATCTTCCTAATGAATTTTAAAGGTTAGTTATTGTTCATCGAGTCTATACCCAACACACCGCGTGCAGTAGGAATGATTCATCACCCATACCCAAAATATGGAAAATACTACTACCAATCAAATCAAGCGGTGGAAAATAATGGAACTATATAAATGAAGTTAGGAAGTCGTGTGAATAGTACCTTGATATGATTATGAGCAGTAGTAAATTGTCCTCGAAACGTGGTCATCAGTAGACATTACTGTATAACAACACTGTGAGACTTTATCAAAACAAAATTTACCCATAAAATGGAATTACACTCTATCACAGTGCACAAGTCTTATTATTATTACTATTATTATTATTATTACTATTATTGTTATTACTATTATTATTACTATTACTATTATTATTACTACTACTATTATTATTATACCAGAAAGGATAGATATGACAAGGAATCTTGGCAACGAAATAACCGACAAATTTGCAGAAATAAGCAGAGATGGATCAGACAAACTCAGAGAAGTCCACTGAGCGACGTCATGTGCCAGGAGTGGAAGTGCAGGCTTATGCGTAGTCGTGAGGTCAGACAAAGAGGACTTCAAAGAACTGAGTTAAATGGTGATAATTTACTTCGGAAACTAAGGGACAAAGATTAAAAATAACAATACCATACACACACACACACAAAAGCTATTAGACTACAAAAAAGGAATGAAACTTACGGTTTTCTCTTATCCATAACAGCCATAAATACATTCACACAATTTACCACTATCGATGACGTCACTATCTGTTCTTCATTGGATAATATTCGATTTAACAGCATTGACATTGTTTTTTCACTAAAATATTAGGGGAGGGAGGGGGGGAATGGTGCAAAGAAGAAAAAACCATAACAGTGTAGGAAATTTGTTTGTGAAACGATCTAACAATTTTTGAGATTACTGAAAATTGTAAAAAAAACAAAAAAGCTTTTAGTACTATGGTCACATTTATATTGGACATATGTAGAGGGGGGAGGACGGTGCTTCGGTAGGCTAACGCTTTACAGAATTCTCACCAACCACGCCGTACATGTTCCAGGGTTCCCCAATCCCAGACCAATTCATTTTTAAACCTCATTTAGCTGATAGTAAACTGAGTAAAGAGGAAAGGTTGGCCGTGAGGCAAGTAACCCCGCCCACCCCGTATAGGACGACACTAGTGTTTGAAGTCCTATATCCCATTCCGAAAGCAAACAAAAGGGAGGTGAGTTTCACTGGCTTCAAAAAACACTCAACCTCGAGACAATGAATCCCAGGTTCGGACCTTGTTATACCTATACTTCAGCTTGGGACCTCGAAAAATAAGTGTGTGGGTCACAATTCAATAACCATGTGAATTCTAACTAACTTAATAGGATGCGGTACTTATTCATTACCACTCTAGATACTCTGCTTTCACAATTACCTGGCTTCACAACCACCCATAACCTTTCATTTCCTCTCCACGGGACTAACCATCAATGCTCACTTCATTAGTGCCTAGTTGAGTTCAAGACTATGACAGCTAATGTGCAATCCCTCTTAAATTTCTCTTCCATCTCTATTTACTTCTACATATTTCTTGAGCAATAGGGGAGAAGGGGTATTGGTGGTTGGTTCATTGTGAGAGTTCCTTTCTGCTCATTACTTCTGATGCTCCAATAATGTGATTTTCACAAGGTGCTGTTGGTTAAAATTCGTGGCAGGTTAATGGAAATGCTCTCTCAGTGATGCGTATGCCAAGTCTTCGAACTTATACAGAAGAAACTTGGAAATAAAGCTTCAATCTTTAAAGTTTCAGTGGATGGCGATAGTATTGTTAACTTGACACTCCTAATCGTATCCTCATTCCTCCGACATACAAAACTGGTTAGTAAACTATCTGAAATTGAAGACCGGGAGTCGAACCCAAACAAACTACGTGAATGATTGCCAATCAAAGAAAGGATATGCAGCACAAAAAATTTAATAGACAGAGGGTGACTATACTGCTCAGCAGTCACTTCACTCCGTCCATCATTATATGACTGGCTGTGAGACCTATCCATTCAGAGTGGAAGACATGAAAGGATTAACTGTCTTTGATCATAAGTGGCTGCGTTCTATCTCCCATGTGAAGTGGTATAATAGGGTGAGCAATATTGAGGTTAGGCATCAGTCGAATGCTAGGTAGGAAGGGGAAATCGATCGACGAGGCTGTGAAATTACATCGACTGAAATGGTTACGACGTGTTACGTATGCCTATTCATCGCCTTCCTCGACAGCCAATGTTAGCTGGCATAGAGTCAGGCTGGAAAAGAGCTACTGGCAGTCAAACCAAAACATGGCCTTACCAGTCAATGAAATCTACAACAGTTAGTTTAAGCCGACCACATAGGAAGGTGTAGACTTCCTTGTTTAGTCCTCGAGACGGTAAAAACCAATGAAGACTGGAGACAATTGGTGACAGAGCTCAAAATCCTTCTCAATGGTTAACGCCGATGTATCCACTCCTTGTGACTTAAAATATCCAATGAAACTATATTGTTCTTCGTTATTACTATTCCTCACACCTCTGTTTACCGTCCCTAATATGCATTTCTTTTACTCTCTTCTCTTGCTTTGTGTGCTACATGGAGTGGAGTGTGGTGACTTGAACTGCTGCCCATCGGTGCAAAGTTCTCTGTCGAGAACAGACAGATAGACAGACAGAGGACCAGAAGCTAAGAACCTGTTGTCTTCTAACACGCATACACACACGCTAAATAGAGACAGATCTTAGAGAATGGAACTCAAGTGGGAAACGATAAGTGGTGTGTGTGTCTTCGCTTCGAGGAAGATAAAAAAGTTAATGAGCTATCTTGGAGTCAGGTGAAAAAAAAAAGATTACAGGGAGAACAGAATGAAATGGACATTTTGCAAATTTAGCCATCTACATTCCACTCAGAACCTAAGAGCATAAACTAATAGTCCCAGATTAGTTACAGGATTTCATCATGAGATGACATCAGTTAGAAAACCGTTGGAAAAACCAGCTGCCAAGGAGTACTGGACAGCTGTTCATATCGTTCGCTAAGTTTGGGACTCTTCATTTGTACACACTCCACCCCCCCATACAGGACCTTCTGGTTACAAGGCGTCAACCTTGCCTAATCATGCCTCCTGGCTAATATATGTGTAAAACTTGGGAACTGTGGTATTAAGTAATTCCATATTAGTTTGATTATTAAATGTATCACACAGTGAAACAGTATTGTATACTGGATGACGTTTCGAACACAATTTATTGTTCATAATCATATCAATTTTTGTCACACGACTTCGAGATTTGATTTTTATAGTTTTCTCTGTCTTCTCCTATTTGTTGTATGGGCAGTAGAATTTTCCATATATCTGGGACAGGTGTTGAATCATTCCTATTACATGTATTTGCAGTTGATTCGAGCCATTAAAACAAAACAATTTAGTTTATCTAATACCCTCCTGGAATCATTGTCAGGTCAAATACATAGGTCAAACTAGTAGAACAGGGGCAGTCAGACTAGCCGAACATAAAAACCTAGCTAAATCTAGATTGGTTGACCCGAATAAGATAAGAAATCTAGAGAGTAGTTCAGCTATAGCACTACATGCAGTTACACACAACCATACAATAGGATGGGATAGGATGACAGTTTTAAAATCTAATATCACAGGGTATAGGGAGAGATTGATAACAGAAGCTTTGTTTATCGAATCAACTGCAAATACATGTAATAGGAATGATTCAACACCTGTCCCAGATATATGGAAAATTCTACTGCCCATACAACAAATAGGAGAAGACAGAGAAAACTATAAAAATCAAATCTCGAAGTCGTGTGACAAAAATTGATATGATTATGAACAATAAATTGTGTTCGAAACGTCATCCAGTATACAATACTGTTTCACTGTGTGATACATTTAATAATCAAACTAATATGGAATGCCTCCTGGCATTTTATAATGTTCAGCTGTTCAACAAACTAGCCAATCACAAAAAAGTATTGATTTATTGAACATTTCATAAAATTTGACAGAACAAAAAAGGGGCATACGGAAGAACGATGACATCAGAGAGAAATGTTAGAGAAAAACAATTAAGGCAAGATATCGTATTCACATTAAGGAATAAATAAAACTCCTAGACAGTTTTAAACAACTTTTCAAATGACAGCATAATCAATAATAATGACAGTAAATTTAAAAATATAATTCCGCTACATATGAAGTAGCCATTGCTATTTTTAGTATCAAACTGTAGCAGCAGTAGCCTTAGTAGTAGTGACCTTGGGTCACATGACCTATAAAAAACGGAACGGTCGATACTTATCAACATATGACGCAAATCACACCTGTAATGTGTATGTGTGTGTGTGTATGTACGTATGTTTGTACATCAAACTAAAGTACACGTCTGGGCTTAATTAATTAACCAGTTAGTCAATTAATTAATTAATTGATTTTATGTGTTATTCGTCCATTCATTTGGTTGTATGTTGTATACGACATGTAATTAAAAAATAAAACACGTATTATTGATATAATAAAAGTGTCTTAATTTCATTTTGTTTAAAAATAAACAGTTTAAAATTTTAAATTCAAAGAAACTAGAAGTGAAAGAAGACGGGGAAGAGAGAGCGAGAGAAAGAAAGAAAGAAGAAAAAAGACTAGCAGCTTAAAAACAATACAAAAAGGCTTTTGGCGACATTTAAAAAGTCAAAAAAGCGCGGCACAAAGATGAACAATTGGCAGAGAGACAAAAAAAGAAGGAATATGAAAAACATTATAAAAAAAATCAATATTAATTGTACACCTTTGAAGTTTAAAAACACATAAGACATTTATAAATGTCAAACAACGCTTAATTTGCTATTTTTTTTTCTAAAATTTATTTCTGTCTAATTGAATTTTAGATTTTTCCGTCGATTGATTGGACCGAAGTACTCGGTCCAAAGTGGTATAGAGCGAGGGACACTTTGACGTTTAAACTATGGGCACTGGGTTCGAGCCTCAGTGGGGGGTGGGGGTGGGGAATCACCACTCACTGGGGAATGTAGGTACATCCCCAGATGATGAGTCCCAAATAGGACGAAATGCGCGTTATCCTGGATTCCACTGCTAGCCACTATCCACCAATTAAATTTGTTTCGGTTCGTTGAGGTTTCTGTAGCGAATAGGTTAATTTTTTTTGGTTAGGATTACCTAGGAAACTAATACACTTGGCGAGGTTCTTAACACCGATGACACTCCCGACTATGATGGAGTGGATCATCTGGAAGGCTATGGCGAACGGGAGAGGACAAGGATACGTTGGACTGACAGAACAACTCTGAAAGATTTTAACTTCGCAGATAAAATTTATATATAGTGTCAGATAAACTCGAAGACTTACAGGTGACAATAACCAACACACTGGTCGGCAGAAGAAGTAGCGAAGACAGGACGAAGGTGATGAAGATAACTAACCAAGCAACAACAACAACCAGCACCAATCACCATCATTGGGAGAGATTTAACAGAGATTATTTCCTTCACTTATCTAGAAAGTACAGAGTTTCAACGACAGGTGGAACCGGTGAAGGTATCGAAACCAGCCATCATCGGAAAGGAAAGACAGGCGTTCATCACTCTGAGGTCAATGTGGAAATGTTTTGCATTCTGCATAAAAAGCCCAAAGATTTTCAACACAAATGTTGAGTCAGTCAGTTCTTCTTAGCGACAGAGTGTCACGGAAAGCACTCAAAAAACAGGCTGCTGTAGACTTTTATCAACAGCTGCCATATTCGCTGACTTCATGCTGAAAATCAGATGGCCA